GTGGTCGACGGAGTTTCATCTGACTCTCTTATCATAAATGCTGGTCTTCCGCAAGGATCAATTCTAGCACCAACACTATTTCTACTCCATATCAACGATTTGTTGGAAGCAACTTCATGTCCAGTCCACATCTTCGCGGATGATAGTACCCTCCATACCGCCTTCTCTTCCAGGGCTCCAATTCCAGCCAGGCAAATCAGAAACGAACGAGGGAGAAATGTTGACAACATAAATATGGACTTTGAAACAATTCTCGAATGGGGATCCAATAACTTGGTAGATTTCAATTCAAACAAAACACGAGCATGCCTTTTCTCTAGAAAAGCCGATCTCACTGTGCCCAACATAAGCTTGTCAGGATTAACCATACCTTTGAAGACATCCATCTCGATGCTTGGGATTACTATCACCAATAACCTTTCTTGTGAAAATCACGTGAGATCAGTTACTAAAAGTGCATCCCAAAACTTTGGTTTTCTGTTTCGGGCCAGGAGCTATTTCACTCCCGGTCAGCTGCTTATGATCTATAAGGCACAGATCCGACCTGTCCTGGAATAGTGTTCCCATATTTGGAGTGCAGCACCCAAACATACCCTGAAACTGTTGGATTCTGTCCAAGAAAGGGCAATTCGTCTCGTGGGTGATGCCTCGCTCACAAACTCACTCACTTCTCTGGGACACCATAGAAAAGATGGCGATCTGGCTCTATTTTATAGATATTTTCATGGACGATGCTCTTCTCAAATTATCAACAATTGTTCCTCCCTTGGCAGTCCCACGAGATTAACCCGTTGAGTTGAGGCTTTGCACCCCTTCGTGGTCACTTTGGAGACCTGCAGAACATCTCTTTCCAAAGACTCGTTCATTCAACGAACAGCGAGGCTCTGGAACACATTGTCAAGGAAGGTGTTCCCCGAGGCATTTAACCTCCAGAAATTTAAGAAGAACACTAATTCCTACCTTATTTTCCTTGGTTCTCACGATGTTCTCTGAACATTACAGGATATCCCTCTTCGTGGGAACCAGAACATAAAAAAAATATATAAGGTTATATATTATATAGGTTATATAGAGTGGAATATCTGGGTTGCAAGTGGATTTTTGACAAAGCTCACAAAATGTTATTGAAAAAATATTTCAAGTTCTTGCCATTTTCGATGTGTAGCTTGGATTTTACTGAAATTCAGTGAGCTTCCTCAAAAAAAGTACTTCGTCTTTCGAAAAATTCAATTTTGAACCATGGAAAGTGAAACGTAGAAATTGCAAAATTGCATGGTGGGTTGACTGGGTTGAAATAATTTCGACAGATTCATTACCCTGTATTTTTTTGAGAAAAAACAATTGGCAAGTATACCGTCCCAATCTCTCGAAAGCCAACAATAACTCAGATATTTCCGTTCATATTAGGAAAATACCATGATCGTGGAATTTTGATAACCCTGTCGCTGTTTTGAGAGTAACGGTTAGACTCACCGCCACCAAATAATGGAAATCTCTTGAGGATTCTAGGAACTGGTGTAGGCGCTGGTTATATCACTTTCACGTGGGCGCCACTATATAGATATATAAATCCAGGAGGCATAATATACAGTGCTTTTGTAAAGTGGTGAATAAATTCATTTTTTCACTACCAGCATTATGTGTGTACAGGGTGTTTCATAATATTCATAATTCATTCATAATATTTAGAACTTTCTAGAAACATGTTATTAGGCTCTGCCAGTTTGTTTCTGCAGAATAAATGCAGAAATAAATATATGCGCAGGACTTGATGTGATAACTCGTTCAAAAATATGAAAAGAGTTTCTATTAATATACCCTTTAAAATGTACTATTTTCGTGATACAGGGTGTTGAAATTAAAAAAAAAAAAACGTTTTTTGTGAATATATCTGGAACCGTTCATCGCACAAAGAACAGCTTCCTTAAGCATTTTCTACTCATGATAACCTATGTTTTGTGCGGATTTTTTAGGTCATAATTGGTGAATATTTTGAAGGGGTAGTGAGTGTTTTCCTCCCCAAGTTCTACGCCACTGGAAAAAGTACAGTTTTGAGCACCCCATTTGAACTGACACTATTTCCTACACAAAAAAAATATTCTTGGTCGAAGACTCTGAATTTGACCGTTTTCGAGAAAAATCAATTTTTATGTTGAAAATCATGGTAATTTTTTTTTAAATTGCTGCGTGCATTGAAGCTAACCGCGGACTTTTCCAACAATCAATAATTTAACTGAGTATGATTTGCTATTGTTTTTTTTTTGTTCAATTTTGAAATATGAAGTTAACATTGGCCGTTCGAATCGGCGGCTAAAAACTATACTTTTTCCAGTGGAGTTGAAGTTGGTGAGAGAATCATCCACTATCCCTTCAAAATCTTCACCAATTAAAACTTCAAAAAAATTCCGCACAAAAAACAGATTATTATGAGTAGAAGATGCCTACGGAAGCTCTTTCCTGTGCGATAAACGGTTCCAGAAATATTGAAAAAAAAACTTTTTTTTTTTCAAATTTCAACACTCTGTATCTCGAAAATGGTGCATTTTAGAGGGTAAGTTGATGAATACTTTTTCTCATAGTTCCGGACGAGCTCTCAAATCCTGAAGTCCTGCGCATATCTTATGAAACACCCTGTATACAGTGCTCTCGTAATGTATTGAATAAATTCAATTTCAGACAAACTATCCATTTTTGAGGAATCTCCTGACAGAGGTCAATTTTAATTTTCAATTTTCCACATTTACGAGAGAAAATTGAATATACAGGGTGATCCACCTTTGAGTTGTGACGACCGCGACAAATTTTTTTGAAAGGAACACCCTATAAATTATTCTATTATTGAAATCTCCATAGAAAACTGAATTTAATTCTTTGTTATGCTCTATGGCTCTGGTATAACAGAAAATAAACTTCGCCCTTTCCTTCGAAAAAATTACTTTTTATTTTATTTTTGTAATAGTTTATAGAAGTATAATAAAGACGATGTTATTATTGAAGTACTGATGAATAAATCGCCTTTATAGCCAAACTATCCATCGAATCTTTTGAAACGAGTCGAATTTTATTTTCGGATTTCCACAATTATGAGGAAAATTAAATGAATATACAGGGTTATCCACGTTTGAGTTATGGTGTTCGCGACAATTTTTTCCAATTTTTTTTTCAAATGGAACACTCTTTGAAATATTCAAAATATATCACACACAAGGTTTGTATACAGTGCGTCCGTTAAATTTAGTGTTTTCATGAAAAAGTGAATATATTCGTTTGAATTCAAAGAAAAAAATGTTTGGAGTTGTCAAATCTTATGTTCATCCTTTGTAGGGATATATAGTTCGGGTCGATCAAAATTTGGGTCAATCGAAATTGGGGTGAATCGAATTTGGGGCGAATCGAAAATTGGGTGAATCGAAAATTGGGCGAATCGAAAATTGGGCGAATCCAAAATTGGGTGAATCGAAAATTAGACAAATCGAAATATGTACCATACATACATATTGTTACGTTATTCGGGTGCAGAAGCGAACACGACACTATTTATTTTCGAACTGATTTATTTGAACTATAGAAACACTAATTTATATCGAACTTATAACTACTATTTATGTAAAACGATTTATATCACGCGGTATATACCTGTCTCTCTGACACTCGCTGCTTGACTGACTGACGGCAGTTATTCGGCCGTTTATATATGAGATCACTTGATGACAGGCTTTGGTTCGAGAACCTTCTCGAATGATCTTCCGTCTCCTTCTTTTTGTTCTAGAAGCTTCTTAGAACAAACCTCTCTCTCTAATTGTTCCATCGATTGTTTCCAGAACATTCCAGAATCTTCTGTGACGTTATTTGTCACTGCGGCATATATTGAGTGTTCGGAAATATGCTAGTGCATGTAGGAACCATTGGGAGGTAGGAGAGCAATCTGGGATGCGTGATACAGGATGATCGTTGTACTCCTGCCTTCCTGCTGATGTTTCTAAAGCCCCTCCAAGGGGAATGAATATCATTACACTATTATGTGTATAAAAAAATTTGAATACTCAATAATGATAATCCCAGAATGATTCTTCATTCAGATTTGGCAACAACGCATCGTTCGGGTAGGTATATTCAGAGATGGTGAGCGAATCGAAAATCGGGTGAATCGAAAATTGAGCGAATCGAAAATTGGGCCAATCGAAAATTGAGTGAATCGAAAATTGGGCCAACGCAACCTACCCTATTTTTCTTGAAATAATATCACAAAGAAGTCATTGATATATCAGTAACACAGTAATACAAGAGCAATTTCATGTTATAACCGTAGACAATAGATATTTTTGTATCTAGTGCGGCACTTTAGTGATCGAGAACAGATTTTTCTAACGAGGAGCATCGGAGTTGAAAAATAGTCGAGATAACCAAAGAATTTCGCGCACGAGTTGCAAACAACATTTTTTCTACAAACGTCAGAAAAAACATTGTTCGAAAGTAGTAATATACTTAGCATATTATGAAAAATGGAACTGGCTTAAAATGCCTTAATTATTGTTAAACATTCAGATATAAATGATTCCTTGGGTGTTGGCTCGATCGAGAACCATAAAGGTTAAATACGAAAATCTCATGAGTTTACATACAATGCGCGAAGTATGTTCTTGTCGTGGTAACGTAGGAAACTGAAAAAAGTGTCACTTCGCATATTGTTATCAATAGGTGAACCTTGTCATTTTTCGACGTTTGTAGCACACTGACGTAGCCAAGGCTAGGAAACCAGCCAATGCATTAAATCTGCTTTGCTGTCGTGTCAAACATATGATTTTTTCTCCATATTCGTCCAATTTCACGCAAACACCAAAGAATCCATAATTTTTTTTGTATACCAACTTGGAACGTTGCAACAAACAAAAAGGCCACTTTTTATGTCATTTGGAGAAAAAAGCATTTATTTCAATGGATTGTTATTGAATATGTTCATTTTTTTGTTCCAGATACCTGCCTGAAGACATTCAAATGACATGGCATCTAGGATTAATCGAAAAAATGCTGCTATCGCCTCACCAAAGGAGGTAGTAAACGCAGAAAAGTCAATTATTATAAAGAATGAACCTGGGGTTGGACAAGTAACATCTAAACCCACTGCAAAACCAGCGATAGGCAAACGAATAGCTAAGAAAAATCAAACAAAAAGAGTCAACAACAAAACATCAGTAGCTGTAAAGTTGAAGGCCAAAGCTAAAAAATATCCGTTAGCTAAAACATTGCTTCAAAATACTAAAACTGTTGATGGAAGAAAAAGACTTCTCAAAAATGTCGTAAAAGAAGGCAAACCAAGAAAACGAAAGATAAAAGAAGAACTCGATGATTCACCACCGGTTTTGGAACCAATTTTTCCCATAGAAGAAAACGTAGAAACTAAAAAACAACCGAGAACGCGAGCCACCAAAAAGACTGTAGATCCAATAGATGTGAACAGAATAAAAGTAGAAAATGAGGACGACCTAAGTTTGTCAAGTGACGTCACAGATATTTCAAATTCCGAAATACCGACCTTGACAAAACAAGTGAGAAAACCGAGGGTTCTCAAAAAACCTAAGGTGGAGATTGAAACTCTAGAAGACGTTATGAACGATTTATCTTACCTGATAAAAACTGAGGAAGTGAAGGAAGAAGGAGAATCTTTGTCAGAATCAAGTAAAACGGAAACAATGTCGAAACCTAAGAAACTCACCAAAAGGCAGAGGATAGAGCTGCTCAAAAAGAAAATAATAAAGAAAGAGAATATAGAAAACACATTAAGTAAACTAGATTCTGCTGATGAAAAAGTCATCGACATGTTAGACTTGAACGTCAAACGAGTCAAGCAAAAACCTCTGACTAAGAGACGACACAGTATAGAAAAATTCCCTGTAGGCACATCTGATGATTCGGAATGCACTCAGCTACCCTTCCTCGGCAACTTTCCACGCAGCATCAGTCCAAAAACTAGAAAAATTGTGAAACCTAGACAAAGCATAGACGGAGCTAGCAAAAGGTCAAGTCCTTACAGCACTAGATCCGAATCTCCTGCAAGAATCTTGAGGAACGGTAAACAAAGAAAAGCCAAAGGCCATCTTCTGGAAGGCTTGGAAACGGAGATCAAAAAAAGGAGGCGGCTATGCTCGGATCTTAGTGGTAGCGAAATGTCAATGTCAAAACTATCTGGGTATGACTCGGATAGCAGCTTCTCTGATTTGTCATCGGTACATGGTGCTGAGATCAATGAACCTGAGTCGTCTAAGACCAAAGAAGAAAGCATCAGACCTACTGCTAGTTCAGAAACACCAATCACTGCCAGTAAAGGACCAATAGACAATTTTGGAATTATCGATACTAACTTTAATCTTTGCAGCGACTTGAATTTAAGCAATAAAAAAATGATTGCTGAAAACCAAACATTTGATGACCCCACTTTACCTGACAAAGACACCTTACTGGATATCATGAAGCTAGCTTTCAATGACGTAAATCACAAAAAGTCTCCTAAAACTAATCAAAAGATTGATGCATTGTTAACTTCGAAGTTCTATGGGAAACCAGCAAGAAGTAAAGCAGCTGACAAACCTGAAACGGTTGTTCAAGAAGATGTGGCAAAAACGCACGTTGGTATACCAGAAATCAGATCAGAGCTGACCAATCCTCCTGTTGATATTGTTGAGCCAGAAATAGTACAAAATGTGCCTGATACTGCCATTGTCCAAGATCCGAATACCATAGTCGTAGATAAAAACATCACTAGTAAAATAGAATCCAATACTAATGATACTGAAACATCAGATACTTCACTATTTGAGGATTTTACAAAAAAAGATTCAGTTACAGAGTATGACTTTAGAAAATTTGATGAATCTGTAATTGGAGTTGCAAAACTTATTACAAAATATGATGAACCTAATATCACAAATGTATCTGGAACAATTGAAAATTTATCTGAAGCTGTCACCAATGCACCAATAGCTGTCACCAATGAACCTATAGCTATCACCACTGATCATATAGCTGTAACCACTGAACCTATAGCTGTCACCACTGAACCTGTAGTTGCCAACAATATATCTGAAGCTGCTGACAATCAGTTTGAAGCTGTTATAACTGCACCCGAACCTTCTGTTGTTTTTAATGACATACAAGATATTCCAAAAATCGAAATAGAATCACAACAAGAGCTAGTTGGCAATATTATTGAAGATAGCAAAGAAAACAGTATAGACCTGAACCTCCAATCAGAAAGTTTTGCAGAAGCTGTTAAACTGGAAGAGGATATTAATTTACAGCCTGATGTCAAAAACTATGAAGATAAACTAGTAGATGTTAATGAAAATAAAGCACAAAATAAAGAAATTCTAATAAATTCTCAGATAGACCACTCAAGTAATATTAGTAAGGAAGATAATTTAAACACTATTGATATGTCTGAAACTGCAACTGAGCAGTTGTTAGTTCCTGAAGCAGTTGACAATTATGTAACTGAAGCTGTTCAGGATTCAATGATTGAAACAGTTGAAGAATCATTAGTTGAAGATTTGGTGAATCATGCCGAGACTGCTATAAACCAAGTGAGTGAAGCTTTTAATAAGACGCATGATACAGTGGTGTCTGATGAAATTGATGTAAAAAGTATAAGCGATGTAAATATGACTGATAATTGTTATACTGTGATGGACAATAGTGAGGAAAATGGTAGTGTAAATGTTGAGGAATCTGCTGAGGAACTTGCTGTCAAAGAAAGTATTCTCCAGGTAAGAGGTTTTAAATAGTACTATATCTGTACAGTGTACAATCTAGATACACGAGCTCACTTTTGGAAACGAGTACCTGATTCTAATCTAATCCGAATTCAAGGGGTTTGTACACCTCAGAGATCCAATGATAATGCCACGTATATCCAGAATTGTTTTACTCACTGTATGTGGATTTTGGCACAAATTCAATTTGAAAGATTCGCCTCAGTACTGATTCTGAAAATATTAATAGTACTGCTCAGTGTTCTCGTTATTTTTGATAAATTCTATAGAAAATAAAATCATTATCACCATTTGAATTACTGAATGCAACTATACATTTTTATTACCATCACCATTTCTTATACAGGGTCATTCACGACGAGCTCTCATTGAAGCTATATGGTGAATCAAACGAAACATGCATTCGATGAACTGTGTTCTTGATGCATGCACTTGATTTCTTTTTTGATCCATAAAAATATTTGATAGAATAAACTCCTCGTACTTCACGTGATCTGTTACACCAATAAGAACCCCAACGTTCCACGTGACATCGAGAATAAGTAAGTCTGAAGATACAGATTCTCGTGACGTGAATGACCCTGTATCAGGGTGATCAGGGTTCATCATTAATGATGGGCCAAAACTTAGAAATGAATGGTTCAGGTGAAAATAAGTCAAATTAAATGTTTTCTCGCGTATGTCACTTGGTTGTTCACTTCTCAACAATATTTAGATTCGAATGAAATATTCATGCAGGGTGCTTAAGTAATTGTACAATTATATATACAAGTATGATCGTAGGTTTTTTGACTTCAGAACATTACGATTCGGGCCATCTTGCCATGATATATTGCTAATAATAAAGGTACAGGGTTCAGAGTAAAAATTAAAAAATACGAAACATGGTAAATGAGTATTTGGTACCTATATTTTCTAGGGGGTCCACATGTTATTTCACAGCTTTTAAAAAACGTTTTTCCTGTATAGGGAATAATATTGAAATTGGTAGAAGTGAAAATGTATGAACCCATAACTGTTATCCAGAAAGATATATTCAATCAACTGTAAGAGGAACACAAAAATCGGTGCCTTCACCAAAATTTTAAATGACATTGGGCATGAAATACCTACGTCAGATCTTATTTGCTTACTCGACGGGTACTACGATTTCACACAAAGAGCACTTTCTCAATGTCACCATTATACCTAGTGTTTCAGAAATAAGATTAGTTAATTCAGAACCTAACTTGACTCACTAAGTATGGTGGCAACTTTGAGAGACTACTTTGTGTGGTGAGGTCTTTGTAATTGTCGATAAAAAAGCAACGATTTTCTAGTACTGTCCTTTCAAATCTCTTTAAAAATTTTGTTGGAGGCAAACACTTTTCAAAATCAAAAGTGTTCTTCAGAAATGTCATTTCACAGATCATTCCATCACTAGCAATCTCGCTAGCGATACCAGTCTGACGAAGTCAAGGAAATATCGAGATATGTCGAACAACTCTCTACCAAAAGTTGTTTTATAGAACGGCAAATCTTTGAAATTATTTTCCCATTAAATGCCCAATAATATGAAAAAAACTCAAAAAAGGTAGTTTTTGGTGGTTTATCTCCCTTATTAGCAATATTTTGTCCAAATCGTAATATTTAAAGTAGAAAAACTGCCATACTTCTCTATGTACAAGTTGTGTCCGTATATTTTGACCCCTACATACAGCTTTAACTATACGAGGTGGAAAAAAACTTCAAATACCAAAGTTCTAGTATTTTATCTGTACTATGTTTTGGCACTCTTTAAACGAGTCTAAACGAACAGATGCGAATCGCAAAATGATAAAAAAAGAATCAAAATGATTTATTTTTAATGAAACAGCCTGTGTATTTTCAACTCTGGTAATATATATTTTTCTTCTGTTCACAAATAGGTGTTTTTGAAATGAGTACATATATTCAGTACATCGATATAATACAGTCTAAAAGACTATTACCATGATATCAGTTTTTTTTCTAATTCTTCTAATTAACGGGAAATTTCTTCTCGAAAATTGAACAAACAACGAGGAAAAAATCAAGTACGTTACTTTAAAACAATAATTTAATTGATTGAACTACGCGTAATTGTGCCATCCGCACGGAAATTTGAACAAAGGTGACGTCAGAATTTCTACACTGTAAAACTTTGGATGGAAAAATTGTCTAACCCCAAATTTTATTTTGGATAAATCACGGGATAATTTCGGGTACACTAGGCTTCCTTTGTCGAAAGAATTTCCGGAATTACTGGGACTACCTAAGGAATTCCTGGGACTACCCAAGGAATTCCCAGACTTCCCAAAGAATACCCGGACTTCCCAAGGAACTACTGGAATTCCCAAAAACAACCCGGACTTCCCGAGGAATTCCCGTCTCGGGTACACTTGACTTCCCACGTGATTTACCCATCGGTATACATCGAGCTTTCTCAGTGTTGGAAATATTTGCATACTTATTTCAAAGTCACCCTGTATAGTTTGCTTATTCCTCAAGCCATTTTCCACTTATTTAGCATTGAATCAAAGTTGCCAATAGCATTTAGATGGATGATGTGTACACAACAGAAATGTCATGAAAACAAAACAGGCATAGGTTTTTCAATTAAAATGGGTTTTCCCGTAGAAACCGAAAACGAAGTAATGAGATTATAATATGAAATTATTGCAAAAGTAGTACAGCAAGAATTCAGTCGAATACGGCTTGAGGAAATATCAGCAAACTATATTATATTTGTAAACAGAATAAAAAGATATTTTACGACAGTTGAAAATATACCATTTAAAAAAACTGATTAGGCTCCTTTTTTCATTTTGCAATTCGCATTCGTTTATTTGAGGAGTGCCAGGAAGTACAGATGAAACCCTAAAACTTTCATGTTTGAAATTTTTTTCAATCTCGTATATAGTTGAAGTTGTAGGTAGGGTTTAAAATATAAGGAGACACCCTGTACAATTACTTAATTACCACCATGTAAAATAGAATTCGGGTTATTCTTCAGAATTTACCAGCGAAAGTGTTGGTCACAATTATCTGACAACAATTATTTTTTTGTACATATTAATGCGTAAATGTTTACTTTCTTTCACTGCCAAAATAATTCACAAAATAAACATAAAATATTACTTCATGAAAGATTTATTTTTAACAGTCAAATATTAAGAATTGATTAATCATCATAAAACAATAATTATTCCAATTATTGGAATGACACTTTACAATTACTTCCATCCAACATAAATTCCCGAAGAAGTTACTAATTCCACAATTTTATCAGTCATTTTAAATTATTTGGAAGAAGATGGACAATTCGATATTTTTTAAGAAATCTCAATTTTGTAAATTCACATTCACAGTTGTACAAAAAAATGTTGTTTGTATTTCGTGTATAAAATTCGCGTTTTCATGGTACATTCGAGAGAATTTTTGGTCTCGACCTCATTTGGGCCATTAAAAACACACTCATTCTACGCACTTGATACAAAAATAACTAAACTGCCTCACAATTGAAGTGAGACAAGCACAAATGTCTATCATTTTTGAACTGTCATAACTTTGGATTTGATCAAAGAATTTCAAATTTATTTCAAGATTCTAATAGCTCATTTCATCGAGTACAGCGTCAGTATTTTTTTGTTATTCCACCATTTCGACATGAAGACCTACAGGGTGATATGTGAAAATGTGATAATTTTCGAAAAGTTTGAGATCGCCCCGGTTGGCAAGGATTTTTCTTTATGTTCATTGAGGCCGATTTTCTCGAAAAGATTTTGATGCTTGCTTGTGTGCTTTGAAAATTTACTGTCACAGTTCACAAAGACCATATACAGGAAAAAAATTTTGATATAAATTGAAGTAGCAAAATGTTTCGACAACTCTCCTGGATTTTCCTGATTCTGAATAAGTCAGTCGATTAGATAGAAGTTGCAGAATATTTCATGAGAAAATAAGACAAATCGAAGAAGCTGTCGGAAAGTTATGACTGAAAGATGTTTTTGCCAAATCTCATAATTCACCCTTTATATTGGTAAAGAAGAGAAGACACTTTCTGATGGACATTCGGTATTCCCCTCAGGGGCCTCTATTCGTGGTAGGATTATGTACAGTTCCTCATGACTCCCCCTATATAAATTGAATTATTTCTAGACAGATCGAGAAACTCATAGATAATTCAAGTAACTTGATTAAATTCATAGCGCACGCCTATGGCAACTGTATCTGTCTCTGACTTGCAGCTGTCATTGGTATTCGCGAAAATCACGAAGTGTGCGGCCTCTGGTGGCTAACTGTACAAGTCTTGCGAGTATGAACAACAAATATGGCGACCATTGTTTTGAATTTCATAAATATGTGTTTTATTTGAAAATAATTTATTTGTTGAAGTGCATATTCCAGAACCTCATTTTTCCCTGATGAAAAAATTCGAATTATTGCATGAACTTTTATTGTTTACAATGAAGAAACCAGTACCTACCTTATAATAATATAATATACATTTTCTGAAGCACAATTAGAATCATTGTATAAATGTCGGTTGCAATGATTCGATCTTGAGAATAACTTCAAGTCCTCAATTGCTGGAGATCCTTATTTATGTAAATCGATGATATTGTTCATTCTGAGCAGCCTCTCCACCATATCTTCTTTCCCAACCCCTTCACTAGAATTCCATCTCCTTCATAAAAGGCAGTGATATTTCTTGATAAATTCAATTATTTCTTCATACCTATACCATATTGTTGTAATAACTGATTGCTTGTATGGTTCGGTTCCATTCCAGTCCATGCAAATGTTGAGTGGACCATTCCGATCATTCCATATGTTTGTATGTTGTAGTGTGATATCAATGATGAATACCACCATTGTCCACATCAAAATGGCAATTTCTCTGCACAAAAAGTAATTTCTGCCATACTGGAAACTTTGTACGTATTTCAAGAAGTCAACTTATTATTCACTATTTTGCAAAACGATTCGGAAATAACCAATTTCCAATGAGTGCATACGGCAATGTTTTTGTTGTTCATACTCAGTTGGAAATTTGACGTCGATTTGACATATAATAGAGCCATCTATTGGTTCGTGATTTTCGCGAATCCCAGATGACGTCACATGATATGAGCGTAGACACACCATCTTCTCCTTCCACTATGGAAAGGTGGAATAACTAAAAATTTCTGAAGTTGTACTAAATGAAAATGAGCTATTACAATCTTGAAAGGAATTGAAAATTAGTTGATCCCATCCAAAGTTATGACGGCACGAAAATGATAAAAATTTTCGCTTACCTCACTTCAAATGAAGGAGGTTTATTTTGATATCGTAGTTTCTATGAATTCAATCAATTTTCCGTTCAGGCTTTGGGCCTGCAAAGTTTGAGGGCGGCCGAAGAGGCTAAGCAAAAGACAACAAAAGAGAAACCCGCCAGCTGGAAAAGTGATAGCTACACTGGGACTCTGAAGACTGTGATCAAAATTAATCGTGATAAGAAGAAGGGCGGGAAAGGGTCAATCAAAATGACGCTGCAGAAGAGCAAGCCGAAAGCTGTCGTCGCCGCCGAAGAGGAACAAAATATTGAGGAGGATCAAAGAACGAATAAAGACGTAAGTTTTTGTCATATACATACCGGGTGGCGATTTTCCTAAATATAATGCACGCTAGCACAAACCACGCCCACCATAATACGTCATATCTCATACTGTGCTCCAACGCAAGAACTGAAGCTTTCTCGTTGTCAATCTCTTGTACGCAGTAAATTCATACACCCAAATGGTCTACTGGTTAGCGCTGTCGACTCTCAGTCTGAAGGTTCATGGTTCGAATCGCTGTGAACTCGAACTTTTTTTTGCAACTTTTTTTTTTCACCAATGTTTTTTTACTTCATTCTGGTTTTCCTTTTTCATAAAATATTTGAAGTCAAATAGGTTAGTGCGTTTAGGATAAACAGTCTCATTTTATTCAATTTTGTTGAAGAACTCAACTTTTGAAATATATTATTAATCAATGTGTTTCTACACTCCATTCGGTTTTCCTTCCTCAAAAATATTGCAATCAGGGATAGGTAGTTCGTTGAGGATAAATAGTCTCTGAGTTTTGCCTAAATAAAGTACTTTGAAGATGAGATATAACGTGGTATGTGCTACTTTTTCAATCGATTTATTTATATGAATCAGCTACGTTGTGCTGTCAAAGATTAGATTTTGCAGGATTGTGCTGGGCTCGATTATATTTTGCAATGCCGTAGTAGGGGGCGTGTCTTGTGCTGCAATAGTTTATATTTAGTAAAATCGCTACCGGGTGGCCATGAGAACTAAGCCGCCCCTGCAACTTTTGAATCGTTCGAGATGAAATTTTGAAATTTGGAGGGTTCAGATAACAGCATATTTTATATTCCCTGATATAATTATATGCTTTTCGAGTTACCTCTGGTGTCGCCAGAAATGTCCTCAACTTTTGATTATACAGGGTGAGTCATGACTAACCAGCCATATATAGCCTAATGGCGGATAGAGGAAGTCAAGGTGAGTTGATATATATGTGAAAAATAGTTATTTATTATACAAGGGAAAAAAGTATTAGATTTTAGCTACGCGTCGGGAGCCAAAAGACAGTGAGCTAAAATCTAATGTTTTTCCCGTGTATAATACACTATTTTTTTTCTGTGACAGAAGAAAGAACGAATCAATATTGAGAAGATATTACATTATTTCGAAATCTGAACATTATCAACGTGAAATTTCAAGTTTTTAACAGTAGAAACATTTGCGTTGTAGGCATCTTTATCATTAGTTTGAAGTAATCAAATATCTGATGTCACTCCTGTCAGTCTAATTCTGTGATTTGATTTCAAAAAATTGTTAATTTAATGGTTGTTTAGTAATATCCATAACCGCGAAGTCGAATGGGAGATAAAAGGACATGCATTTCTTTCTCGGATACGGTATTATTGATTCATTTTTCGGAACTATAACACAACAAAAGCCATCAACAGTTTATGTATATGTGATATATATTCGGAAAAAGTACTCACTTTTTTCCCGCGGGAATGCCAAACTTTTTTCCATTCACGGAAAAAATATATTTTGCCTTTTCCATTCACGGAAAAAATATTTATTTATTTATTTATTTATTTATTTATTTATTTATTTATTTATTTATTTATTTATTTATTGAACGAATAACTTCCAGACAGAATAGGCTCTGGTGTAAGAAAGTACATAATTATATACCTATAGGTAAACATAGCATCATTCAAAATATATCAACAACTGTAAATTGGCAAACAAAGAATAATATTTGTAAAAAAAAAATTAAAAAAAAGGCATGATTAATTTTATCCAGTCCGCTCAGAAATAATCAGTTTTTTTACTTCATTTTTGAATATACCTATATTTCTGCAATTTTTTATATTATCAGGTAGTTTATTGAATTCAGTTAAGGCTGAATGAGTGAATCTTTTTTGTCCGATTAGGGAGCTAGCGGCGTCAAGATGAAACAAGTTATATTGTCTTGTTTCATGATTATGAATTTCAGAATTCCGTATCAAAATAATATTCGACTTCAATTTTTTATTTATGATATTATATGATATTTTGAGAGTTTCAATTCTATATATTTCATCTAAAGAATACGTATTTGTCATTTCATACAATTGATTGGTTGGTGTATCAAATGGGAGACGATACAATACTTTTAACGATTTTCTATATAATGTTGATATTTTATTGAAATTATTTTTTGAACAAGATCCCCTAACATTTATTAAATAGTTGATACGACTCAGTATATGAGAGTAGAGAATCATGTTTGAAATTTTAATATCAAGTTTGGGACATCTTCTCAATGCACCAATAATTGGAGATATTTTTTTTGTCAGAACATCAATATGTTTGTCCCACTTCAACCTGTCATCAAACCAAATACCAAGATATTTTATCTGGTCAGTTTGTTTCAAGAGTTCATTTTTTATTTCAAGGTTGAGGTAAATTTTTTGTTTATTTTTTTTGTGAAAAATCATATATTCTGTTTTGTTTGTATTTATCGATAAATGGTTAGATTGGAGCCATTTTTCAAATATTTTCAAGTCTTCATTTATCATATTTTCTAAATCTGAAGGATTCTTGCCTTCATATAAAAGTACTGTATCATCTGCATACATGGTATATTCACACGCTAGACCAATTTCACTGATATTTTGAACATAAAGTAAATATAGTATAGGTCCTAAAACAGAGCCTATTTGAATTCGGGGCGAATCTTTGATGAACGATATTTCACGAACGTCTCGATGTTATCGTCTGAAAATGACCAGCAACTCACCTCTACTAACACTCCATAAGATGTCCTAATATGGAAAAAATTTCAGAGACGGACTTGGGAAATTCATTTTCTTTATAAATGTCATAATTTTGACTTTCTGGGTCGTATTTTTCAAAAACTCTTATCAGAATCAGAAAGATCAGGAAAAACACTACAAGTGCATCTTTTCAATTTGTACGGCACACCGACCGCTTGGGTAAAAAAAATTCTAACAAAATACTGTTCAATATTTCTTCGATTTCGTCCGGGCACATTACTCTCTACATTCGACTTGAGGTATTCAAATCTTTTTTTGTTTCATATTGATATACCAGCATAGTTGTGAATAGGTTTTTTTTCAATAAAAAACTACAAAACAATCATAATTTTCGAAAAAGCTTTGTCAATACCTTAGCAATCTTCAACGAAGATTCTCGAAATGTTCTTCTCCAATTTCTTCACATTTTCTGCATCTCTTCAGGAGATCTCTCATGGTTTCAAGAATAATTTGCCTATTATTTCTGATCATATCTCAATCTGTAACTATTCTCTTCCTCAGTTCCTCTCTGGTGTTGACTTCAGTCTGATATACCAAACGTTTCACATGTCTCCATAGTTAATAGTCTAATACTGTTAGGAGACCCAGAAGGCCAAGAATGAGGGCCACCACGACCTATCCAGCGATTAGAGAATTTGGTGTCTAGGTATTCTCTAACTTGTATTGAGTACTGTAGAGGTGCCCCATCCTGTTGAAATGGAATACCTCTTTCATCCATCACAGCCTTCTTTTTTACTGCTTTCTGAATAGTAAAAACACCAGACACAATTTAATTCGCTGATTGAGCGAGTTCACATGCAATGAGATCATATTCAATAGTTCTTCAAAAGTTCCTTTATGTAGAGGCACGTATATCTTATTCGGATAGAAATCTTTCACCTAAGCGATAATTCCTCATATTGAGTACAATGTTTCCACATTTCCACGTATAGAAGCAGATTTCAATTGGAAATTATTTTTATTTTATTTTGGATATAATATCAATTTAATATATTTTTACAATATGTTTTGCATTCTTATGCAGCTATATATTTGAATTATGACACCTAGGTGAAAACACACCTGTATGTGTCATGAATGGAAATGTTCGAAATGTACATGAATATTTTAGTGAACAAGATTGAGGTGAACTGTTCATATTATGTTTATATGACATGTTTCAGAGTATACGGAGAAACACCGTTTGTTCATATTTCAAAGGTCTCTTCCAGAAAATCAAGTCCGGTCCTGGAATTTTTATCGAATAGAGCCTCTTCCCAACTCTTATGATACACCGATATGCATGAAATGGGTTTAAATGAATTTGTCCAACGACTTGACTACAAAATGCGATCCAGAAAGTCGAAATTATGACATTCATAAAGAAAATTAATTCCCCAAGTCCGGCTCTGGATTTTTTTTTCTATAGTAGACCATCTTATGGAGTGTCTGTAGAGGTAAATTGCTGATGAATATCAGGCGATAACTTGGAGACGTTGTTGAAATATCGTTCATCGAAGTTTCGCCCCGAATACAAATAATGCTCTGTATTTCTGTTAGGAATAGGTTCAAAATAGTTTTCCACATATATATCAACTCACCTTGACTTCCTCTATTCACCATTAGGCTATGGCTGGTTAGTCATGCCTCACCCTGTATATATTATATAAATTTTCACAGTTTTGGATTCAGGAGATCATTTTACATATTGTTGTATAATTTTCGGTTGATAAGAATTCTAAACATTGAAGCACCCTGTATTTTTTCCAATTAAATTCCAGTAGATAGTGAATCAAAATTTGAGATAGGGACATGTAAGCCGTTTTGATCGATAATGAATAGTTTGGACACAAAAAAATCCTAAAATTGAAAAATCTCGATTTTGAACACCCTATATCTCTGTAATCCTTCCTGCTAGACCCCAAGTGTGAAGCATTGATGAAATCAGCTCTTCAGGCAGAATCTGAAGATGCAATAAAATACAGGGTGTTCCATTTGAAATAACAAAGTTGCTAGTTGTTTCTGATAGAAGTGGCAACACTGTATCGATAAAAATATTTCAGACGGATAGAGAATGTTCAATTATCAAAGCATCCCAGTTTTCAGAATGTTCTGTCTTTTCTTTCTCCAGATACTTCTAATAGGCCATCCACCGTGGATCACCCTGTATATATATCCTACTTTCCCAACCTGAAGGATTGGAATTACCTTTTGAAAGGTTCGATAAACCTTCATTTTCGGAAAATAGGCACAATACCTACATTAAAATATGGTATAATGGATTAACTTGAAAGGGTTTATAGCAAATATATATTATTACCTACTAAGAAAACAAATTCAAGAGTGGTGAACTATTGAGGTCTAGTTGATCGTTAAGTAAAATGTTAGAATTTTTGAGTTTGTTGATTTCTAATGATTCAAAATGATTGAGTTTTATTCCTTTATTTTTTGAGTGTAGAATTTCGAAATTAATGATATTATAAATCATATGTTTTGTGAAGTTTTCTGATCAGTGAGTATTATTCGATTTTTCTTTTTCAGGGAACTTCTTCGATTCTGAAGCAAGGAAGCCATTCTTCTGATACAGCTGGTGCGCACAGAAAGTCACACTATTCTAACCGATCTAACCTGGGTAAATTACGTGGTTAAGGGCCTATCTCTTGATTCTTTCCTGACACTCTTGCACCCTTTTTCATCCCTTAATCGCACTACACCCTATCTCTACCTTCATTCGGTATCTCTGAAACCGAGGAGTTCTATGAAACAATAAAGATAAATACATGATATTTTGATCACATTTCTCTCGTAAAAAGTTTTTTGGTGCACATTTCCCCAATCTGATTCACTAAAATTGAATTTTCAAAAAAATAGACATGCATCAGATCATCATCTTTCAATAAAATTTTGATTGTGAATGTCATGAATAAGAACCATTTTACCTTTTTCCGATCTTTATCTTCTAGTTTATCTCTATACAGAATGTCCAGAGATAAAACTGACAGAACTCGTGGGGTTTTAGTGACTGCCGATATGATTGCAAACTACCATACAAAAACCGCTTCGTTACTGATATAAAGAGTAATTTGTAGTTTGACAGAAAATTCAATCTGCCATATTAAATACAAGGATTATCCGATTGGATTCAAATTTTATACATGAACAACAAGTAGCCCTTCGATCGAAACCAATGTCAGGACCGGAATATTAATTTTTTCTATGTTTAGTCATTGTGAGAATAACACCTTGTATAATAATTATCGGAAATCTGGGCTCCGATTGAAAATCTACGGATAATTTACTATAGGAACTTATTGAATCAGATTCTGGCACTATTTCAGTTATTCTGTAATGAATTATTATTTTTTTCTTTCATTTGGTGTCGAATATTATTTCATCAAAACTGGAAATATAATAAATATTTACGAAACCAAGATATAATTGTTGTTATTCTCATTGATAACTTCGTAGACATATTTTATAAATTACTATGGTAACCTAAAAATACCAAAGAATAAATCCGTATCAGGACCGGAATGACTTTTTTTTATGTTCTAATTATAACTGACCTAGCTAGTATAACAATAATTATCAGTCTGATGTAGATTCGGAATCAACTGAAAAAATCGTATGGGAACTTGTTCAAATCGGACAGGACTAAGTTTTTCATGAATTATATTTGCTTACTAATTAATCAATTTGAATTCATGAAAATACAACACAACAAGCTTTCACTAGTATTGCAATACAAGTTCAGTTGATACTGAAAAAATTAAAATAATAATTTATTAAGGAATAACTGAAGTAGTGCCAGAAACTTTACCAACAAGTTCCTATAGTATTTTTCCCGTAGATTCATAACATGAGCTCAGATTTTTGATAATTATTAGACAGGGTGAGTTATTTTTACAATAACTCAACAGAGGGATTGAATAATATTTTGGTCCTGATATTGGTTTTGTTCAAAGGGCTACTTGTTCAAGCCTTTCAGTTTAATTCATGTACCAAATTTGAACCCAATCGGTAATCCCTGTATTTAATATGGCAGATTGAATTTTTTGTTATAATCCACGAATCACTCTGTATGTCAGTAAGGAAACGGTTTTGACATTTGCATATAGCATTTTGCAATCTTATTGGCAATCCCTATAACCCCATAGGTTTTGTCGGTCTCATCTCTGGACACCCTGCATACTATTCATTAAATTTCATGCTATTTTTTTCCTTGATAATTATGTAGGCGACATTTTAGACCGGCTCTTTTGAAATTTTTGAAGTGTTCCAAAAAGAAGTAGAAATACATTGAACTTGAAACTATTTACTTCAATAACTTATTACGTTGTTATAGCAGTAATAGCAGGACACCTAGAAGACAATATGAAGAAGGTGTTGGAATGCTGATGTCTAATAATTAGTTATTTTGGATAGTTGTCTATAAAAATGGCAACGTCATAATTCACTCAATGTCGTGCTTTTGCTTCCCAAAAAACGTGCTTTGTCATTTGATTATCCCTTCACTAACTGGAATTTCACAGGAAAATATATTGTAGATCAAATTCCAATTATGCATGTACAGTGTGTACTGAAAGTAACGAAACAGGTTGATATCTATCTTGTCATGTGATGAAAAATAATTTGATAGGGGTTTCAAGAATGACTTGAGCTACTAATCCGACAATCCTATATTTCTCTGTGATTCCTGACGAATTACTATTGATAGTATTGTGAGCACTCATGGTATTATCCCTGATAATCATCTCTACTCAGTGCCAGACTGGCCCGGTGAGGTAGTGAGAAAAATCTCACGGGCCCCCCTACTCAAGGGGCCCCGCACTTGTGATCTCGTGGGTTATAGGGAAACATGGAAATCATACTTCTTCGGATAAGTGAATTAAGAAACAAAAATCACCATCACTTAGTGCCAGAAAAATGGAACATGCAGTTATTTTATTTGATTTTGTACAAATTCTTGAAGACCTCTGGCAACAGTGGCACACTGTTACGTTTTACGAGGTAGGAATGGTCGCCGGACTTGGGTAGCAGTAGATAGTAGTAGTAGTAGTAGTAGTTTACTCTTTTATATATATCTACACACCAACTGGCCATCGACCTTACAAGTGATCCTTCAGCCCATGTGTCTTCGATTCAGGCTTTGTTACTGACTCCATACGCCACCTTAGGAGCAGCACAATCAATTGGAGCGCAACAGTGAATCGTACAGGAGTATTCCTAGCCGCGATGCTCCGAAACTTTAACATATTCAATTCGTAAATCAAATAGAATAATTCCTGGCGCTGGCTAGGATTTAATCTCACGACCTGGCGGTCATCAGTAATTTTATTATTATATTTGCGATCTCACCCTTCATTCACTTTTGTTTCTTCTTGGTTATTGAAGCCCATCTATCAGAGTTATTCAGTTCCTTGTTTTACAGTTTATTCATTATTCTAATATTTTCTTTGTTTGTTTTGTTGAGAAACATTCATTATTTATTATACAAGGTAAAAGAGTATTAGATTATTGAATAGTATCAGATAGACAAAAAACCGAGAGCTAGAATCTAGCATTTTTTTCGTGTAATTTTCATTTCAGCTTTCCAGGTTTGTGGCTCAAGTCATTTTCAAAAACTCCATATCAACTCGTCACATGATGAAATATTGTTCCGTTTTCTGTACACACTGTATAAGTGTACTAGTCATCCTGACCAGCTAATTTGTTCGACAGATGGCAGCAGCGAACACACCTCGGACGGCGAATCGGCGACACAAGATGGCGCCATCAAGGCTCTCGTCATCCCGGAGAAGGCCAGCTCTTTCAGCATACATCCCGGGCGGCTGTGCAAGGACGAATGTTCGTACTGCTTCGGCAAGTTCGGGTTGTTCGACACGCCTTGTCACATAGCGCAAATGAAGAGCGTCGATAGGCAGAATAAAATTTTGGCCAGTGAGTATGTTCTGAATATAGTGATGTTTGATATTGTTGTATTCCACGACTACTTGTTATGGTTACACTCACAAAGGCCGAAAGATACTCAAAGGTTCTTACGAACCAGAAAATCGGTCACTTGTCATAATAATATGACAATCGGCACTTAGTGATATCCTTCAGATCTGAACTAACTGAAATATTTCACTTGAACTGAACTGAATCAGCTAATTGAAGCCGTTCGAAAGAACGCATTTTTTTATCTTTTGGAGCTCACGAAAGGAAATTCCTATAATGTTCGTGGAACATCGCGCGTACCTATGGAGGATAAGGAGAGAAGGTGTTGGTTTTTTTAACTTCTGGAGGTTATGAGTTGTTGGGAATACTTCCATTCGCAAAGAATTTCAATGTTTCGTCGTTCTATAGACGAACCAGTTCTGGTGCAATGTTGTTCGACATTTCTCAAGGTTAACGACGAATGAGTGTGCTGAGATTTCTGAGGGATGTTTCCCGTTGAAATATCTATAGAAATATGAAAGGTCGCCGACGTGGGTGCTGAACCCTATACATGAGAGCAGTATTCTAAAACAGGCGGTATCTGTGCTTTGTAGATCATGAGAAGCTGTTGAGGTGTAAAGTAGATTCTCGCACGGAACAAGAATCCAAGTTTTTATGAGGCAGCCTTTGCGAGGGATCGGACATGATTTTCCCATGACAGAGTATTGCTGATGGTAATACCGAGCATAGATATAGTAGTCTTGGCGGAAATGGTGGTACCAGACATTGTTATATCAGGCATACTGAGTTCCGTCTTTCTAAAGAAAATACAGTCTTGAGTTTTTGGTGGCGTTGAATTCAACTATGTTCCCCAGGCTGTAAGTGGCAATGGTATCAGCCGATACTCCATCTACCACCAACCACATGGAGCGATGTGCCCGAAACAAAAAAACTCGATAAAAGATGGCATAGCTGGGGTGTTGAGCGGTTTGATGGTAGTTTGTGGAGCAGTCCTTGGTGCCAAACACGGTCGAATGTCTTCGATATAACTAGCGCTACTGCTAGAGATTCCCCATGTTTTTCTAATGAAGCTTGCTATATATGAGTGACGTAGGCAAGTAAATTTCCAGTTGATCTTCGGTGGCGAAAGCCATATTGTCAATCATTCATGATTCCTGATCTTTCCAGATATTTGATGAGCTCAATGTTAATGGCTTTCTCCATAACTTTGGAAATGACCAATAACAGGGAAATTGGCCTATAGTTGTTGGGCAGGCTCTTGTTTCCTTTTTGGGGGATTGGTTGGATTCTATCTGTTTTCCAGCAAGATGGAAAAATACCCGACTTGTAGGAGATGGTATATAGCTTGCGGAGAATCGGTGTCAATTCTGGTGCACACTTTTTGAGAATAATGGGTGGAATTCCATCAGGACCATTGGACTTATTTCTTTTGAGACCGAGCAGAATGCGTCGGAACAGACAATATTATACCTCGGCTTAAGGAATTCAAGTTTACAAATTTGACAGAAAGATGAATCTTGACAAGACTACGAACCATTTCTCATATATACACCCTATTCATCGGAAACGGAGTATTATCTGACCCATGTTCATATGAACTTTATTTCATATTTTGTTGAGAGGAATCTCCCCCAAGCTTTTGTCACCGCAACACTGAAACACCCTGTGTAGAAATATTGCAGATTTTCATGGTCGATTTGTCTTCCAGCTGAAAAACACCTGACCAGGGACTCCTGTCTGTGCGACGCCTGCTACCGGCACGTGGACAGGAAGTCGAACACGCCCTCGTACACCAACAGGTCGTTCAAGCGGAACTCGCTAGTGGCACCGGGGCCGCGCCAGAACCACTGTCACGTGCTGGGGTGCAACGAGGTAGCGTCGAATATACTGAGGAGGAAATGGATCATCAAGATGCGAAAGAGTATATGCCAGGTGGTGAGTGATATATATTTTTTTGATCTTTTGGAACTGTACATGGTGATCCTTGAGTGCATATAGGAGAGTGGTAGGTTTTTGACAAGATGAATGACAACTACGAAATAGCCGAAATGCTCGAAGTGGAATGAAATGTTGTTAAAAGGCAAAAACTCCAAGTGATTTCCTCAGAAGTTTGAAAAACGAACAACAATGATAGAGGAAAAATGACTTCCCTATAAATGAATACTGATGCCACCCTCTGTAACCACCAATCACTCTTGAAGATACACCTCCACTTCAAGCCATCAGACAATATCATCCAATCAACCAATGAAAACAATGCCTTTGCCCATGTTTATTCCAGTGCAATCGTCGGCTCACCACACCAGTTATAACTCCGCACTCTGTTAGACTACACCCCACAGCCCCACCTAAACCCTTCCTGCCTTAGGCCAATTTCTTTCACCAAAGGTCAACAGAGTCTATCAAGTACACACTTCAAAATATATTATAATATTCAAGATGACACCTATGGTCACGTTACTGATGGGATATATCATCAATAACTCCTGAAGATATGCTCTCACGTTCAGCCAGCAGATAATGTCATCCCATCAGCCAATAAAAAGAATGCCACGCCTCTTGTCGGTCCAACCCATCCCTTTACCTACTTTTAATATACATATGAAGAATAGTGTGCGCCATAATGAGGAAAACCTTCCGACTTCCAGATCAACATCGACCTGGACAACCCCGGCATCAACTCGATCTGCGATGTTTTGTGGTTATGTGTCTGAGACCTTATCGATTTTCCCAGCTTCTTCTTTTCTAATTTCTTCTATAGTACTGCTGCTGATCCCATAGAAGGGTTCTGGCCCCACGAAGGGTGTTTGAGCTCCTTTTCTAGCGAGTTTGTCTGCTACTTCATTTCCTTCTAATCCGAAATGACCCGGAACTCGTAGAAGGGTGACTGTATCTCTGTTGGCAAGCTCAGTCTTTTCTGTTATTTTGAGCTGATATTCGCTGCTTGATTATCGGACATGATAATGATATCTCGTCTCTAATATCTAGTTTTTTATAGATTTAACTGCATCACATTTTGGTTGAGACTGCTAGGTTTCCCTGTTGTTATTAAAGATGGAGCCTTGAGGTTTTGATGTTCCCACCCTTTTTTTTGTGAAACCTTAAATAGTTTGATCAGATTTTGCATAACTATTTCCATATAAGAGATACAGGACGATTTTGAAAATTCATACTTTTCGAACATCTACGAAGTTATTAGAAATAATGTTGCGCTAAGAACTACGTCTAACATGGATGCACTGTACACATTCCCCTACAGCGTGACCTTCCGCCTGGAAAACACTCACTTAAAACATGTAAAGTCTCGTGGTAACCACTTTGGTGGTGTAGAAACACTCATATGCCTTGTATTGCAGATCTGTCAGAAAATGAAGAAACAATTAATTTTAACCGTTTCGGTGGAAGAACAGCTTTTATTTGTGGTACCGAAACAAAATATCATACTCCTCTGCAACTAACTATGCAATTACTATAACACCATAATATCGAAAGGAAGTTCTAGCAATGAGTGTGCGCTATAACTTTTTCAAACCTTCCGACTTGCAGATCATATCAACCTGGACAACCCTGGCCTTCACTTGATCCTCATATGCGAGCAGCATTACGCTGCCGTCGATCACCTGATTGTGTGCACATCTATCCGTTTCAGGCTACGTCCGATGTTGGTCCATCCCACTTCCACAAGCAATCAGAGTCAACGAAGTACACACTTTTGAACATTATTTAGGATGACACCTGTTTTTACGTCATTGGTGCTATATATCACCACTTACTCTTGATGATACACCTTCACTTCAGGCCATTAGACAATATCATCCTATCACTCAATGACCCCCGCCCATATCCAATCCACTAGAAGCACCGCCCCCTCCTCACTTGCCTTAGACCACGTCCCTTGTCGGTCCAAACAATCCCTTTACCGACTTCCAATGTCAAATGAAAATTTGAACAGTAAAACACTTTCTGTACTCAAGTACACATTTTCGAATATTATTTAGGATGATACACCTTCACCTCAGGCCATTAGACAATATCATTCTATCAGCCAATGAAAGCTATGACCCCGCCCATGTCCAATCCAGTTGAAGCACCGCCCCCTCGTCACTTGCCCTAGACCACGCCCCTTGTCGGTCTAACCCATCCCGTCACCTACTTTCATAGTCAAATGAAACGTTGAACAGAAAAACACCTCCTGACTTCCAGATCAACATCGACCTGGATAACCCCGGTCTTCACTCGATCCCGATCTGCGAGCACCAGAACGCCGCCTTCGAACACCTGATTGTGTGTTCTATGTGCAAGCACGGCCTCACCACCTATATTTGTGATTCCGTCCTCTGCTAGACTCCACCCCACATTTATTCGTTTCAGGCTACGCCTGTTGTTGGTCCATCCCACTTCCACAGGCAAACAGAGTCAACCAAGTACACACTTCAGAACATTCAGGATTACACATGTTTTTACGTCATTGATGCTATATATCACCACTGACTCTTGATGATACACCGTCACCTCAAGCCATCAGACAATATCATCCTATCAGCCAATGTCCAATCCAGTTGAAGCACCGCCCCCTCCTCACTTGCCTTAGACCACGCCCCTTGCAGGTCCAAACCTTCCCTGTACTTACTTTCAATGTCCAATGAAACGTTGAACAGAAAAACACCTTGTGACTTCCAGATCAACATCGACCTGGACAACCCCGGTCTTCACTCGATCCCGATCTGCGAGCACCACTACGCCGCCCTCGAGCATCTGATGGTGTGCGCGATGTGCAAGCGCCGCCTGGCCAGGAACCACGTGCACTATTTGGGGCCCGAGGTGGACGGGCTGAACGCGGCGCTGGAGGCCGAGGGCGTGCCGCTGGCGCTCAACGACAGGCCAGTGGTGTGCAAGCTGTGCAAGTGCTTCGCCGCGGTGGCGCTGAAAGAGAAGGCGGAGCGGCCGGAGAGCAGCGAGAGTTTCTTCAGGGAGTACAAGAAGAGGTGAGGAATGAATGAAATACCGTGGAGTGGGGATACTTGGAACTGCAGGGATATTTATTTATTTATTTCAACGGTTACGCCATTTTATAAAAACAAAATACTGACAAATGATGAATAATAATAAGAGCGATGATAATCACACACATTGTAATGTAGCACTTGAGTTACATTTAATAACAATAATAATAATCTTTATTATCCAAAACAAACATATATGTTTATAGCAGGGAAAATTGTGAAAGAGCAACTAAAAAAATAAAATTGAATTAGATAATCAGATAATCATTTTTGGATCATATACATAGTACATATAATGTTGTTTCTTCTAGAGACTGTTGAATATAAGTTCTTGAATTGATTTAGGATGATATTAGAGAATCAAAGACAAGTATTTTTTCAGTTCTTTTCCGAATTTCTCTACACTTGATTCTTGCTTCAGTCTGGCAGGTAATGCATTATTGAGAATTGTTTCATTGTATAAAATAGATCTTTTACCCATATCTCATTTAATTTTGATGAGAGTTAACATATCTTTTTGTCTGGTTATGTTATACTTATTACATGGACTAGGTATTCATAATTATTTTCACATTAGTTTTAAATTTACTTTCCCTTTACTTATCCGTTTGAAGCCTTGATATTGGGTTATTGTTGCAATAATTCGTTGAGTGACAGGTCAAGGAAAATAAAGTAGGATTTCTTGTTCTGGCGGACGTATTGAATCTAATCAAACTTATTAAATCTTGAGAATTGATAAGGCTTGTAACAAGAATTTTTGCCTTTTTGATAGTCAACACTCTGTATTGTTATATCTACCTTTTCGCTTTATAAGAACCATTTTCATCACTGAATGATAACGGGGTATTCCCTCATGCTGGTGGAAAATATGTTTTGTTTTTGTTTGGTTTTTGATCGTATATTTCCTTCATTACTAAAATAAATTTAGCAGTCCTGTCAGAATGATTGTAAACACTGTTGACCTAGAATTCAGACAGCAGACAGTACGTTGCAGGATGTCAACTGTGTCAAATAATTTTGGTACGTTGCTAGATTACGCCCTGACGGAGTAGCAGCTATCCACTGGTGCATCGTTTTCGTTTGTGTTATTCATGTCAATCTTTTCAGCACTATTAGTTCTCTCGGTGTAGATCAGTACAATTCTGTCGTCAGAATAGGTTTGAGAGGGCTGGCAACAGTGTAATATTCCTGAAGCTTGATCTGGCAACCTAGTGTTGATTGTCAATTTTTCAGTCTCAATGTCATTGCGCAGATTCGTATTAGAATGGCAACTGTTTTTTCATCATAATTTTCAACAACTTTCTGCACAGGATGTGGGAACAGATTCCCTGTTTCACTCTTCTCTTTTCAGTCTTGGAGAGTGAAGCTCGGCTTCAACGCTCCGCCTCGCAAATGCAAAATTCGCTTGTCAAAGAAAGTGTCACTTTTGATCCTATTAAATCAATATACTATTTGTCATTCAAAGGAAAATAAATGAAGAAAAAAAACTTCGCCACTGACTACTTGATCGATTCCAGGCTGCTCCACTTTAACCACATCGTGCCGATGGACACGGCGGCAGCCGAGGAGCCGATCACCGTGCCGTGCCGGGCCGACCGCATGGACGCCGTCAAGAGGAAGAAAAAGCCCTACAAGTCGGACAGCGAGGGGCCCTCATCGAGGGACAGCCCCGAGAAGGTCAGAAAAGAGCGATCACAGCAATAACACGAAATTCAAACATTCTGATCGCGATAGTAAAGATTTCTACGCGTTTCAAATTGTACAAACGATCCTCGAACTACAAACATTATTACATGGGCCATTACTTTCAGAGCAATGTCACCCCAGTGAAATATCATTGGCTTTATATTGGCATTTGTCAATGTTAAAAAAAAAGAAAATAAAAAACATCTGAATATGCTGTTTCTAGAAATAATCAATATGATCTTAGAGTAAGTATAGATTTGGCCTTACCCAAGCATAGACTGACCAAGGTAGCAAATAGTCCCATTGTGCTACCTATCAAATTATATAATAAACTAGAATACATACATAAATTTAAAAATACCCTTCGATTCGACTTTTGGGCACGGTAGGAGAAACATGGCGTCTCCAGGCCAAAAGTCAGGTCAATGTGTGTGAAGTCCATAATTTTCTAATTACCTGATCTGGATTGAAATCCAATATTTAATGTGAAGTTTATTAAGTGTGTGTGAGAAATATCAGGATCTTTTATCTCTACGCCGGTATAGAGGCCGGATGATGACGGATTCATCGGATAAGGGGGCCATACTTGAAGTCAAACGTGCTCCATTATTTCTACGCCGGTAACCAGACCGGATCAGCAACGGATTTGCTGGATAAGAGGAGTACATACGATCGAATCTTATGAACACTGATGACTCGGCTTCAGGCCATTGTGATAGACAATTGATGTATGTGGCGAGTCGAGTGATAATATTATTACATATCCAAGTATTTATTCTTGAAAAAATTAATCACCTGATCTGGAGAAATTGTTACCGAAAATAGAAGAAGAAGAAAATACCGTTGAACTGACTTTTCTTTAAATTTTTTTATTCAATCAATGATTTTTTCAATTGCAACGTCTCTGACCTCGCACCTAATACTTTTTGTTGATGTCCTTACCACTTTTGTTTGTGTGCAAAATTTTTCGAAGTTTGTTTTTTACCTAAAATGTATGTTAACTCACTGTATATCAGATTTTTTAATTAGAAAACCTATTTTGACATTATCCAATACTGCAAAGTCTATGGAAATAAATATTTTGTATTTGTAACCGAATCTTTAATATTTTCATAAAATGATCACATCTTCTGCAATCTTTTGCAGAGATTTTTGACAACGTGCTGGCAACGTTGCCGCAAACGTTTGAGATTTGATTTTTAGGATAACTACGTTTGTGTACTATATCCTCTGGCAGTTATCATTAACATTAAAATTTAAATATTATAAAGTATGTTTATCTACTCATTAAATTATATATCAATGATTCAACTGCTTTGGAACAATTAATAGCATCTGTAAACAAACAGCGTGAGTTATAATTACTGTCGCTTCTATAACTCACTATAATACTTACATCGGGAAAGGCTCTTGGAATTATTAACGAACCGAAAATCAAGATGGCTCAGTACTTCTGTACAAGCCAGTTGGCCGAAAGGGAACAGTCCATTATTGTTATTGAGGGAAGAGATGTCAATTGTTTAATTTTGACGTTTTCAAATTAAGTTGATACAATTATTGTGATTTTTTGCTGAAAAAAATGAATTCAGATTGTGAAGATGGATTATCATGTACACCTCCAGAAATAAGACAATTATTAGCTAATGTTACCATACAGAATCTATTGCCAGAAAAATCCCAAAAACAATATGAAGGTGTATACAAAAATTTTCAAGATTGGTGTAGCAGTAAGAGCATTAAGTCATCGTTCACAGAGAATGTTCTTTCGGCATATTTTAGTGAACCTAGCACTAAATATAGGGCATCGTCTCTATGGACATTCTACTCCATGCTAAGAAGCACACCCAACCTGAATAATGGAATCAATATAGAGAATTATTCAAAATTTCGGTCGTTTCTTAAATGTCAATCAGAGAAACAAGTAGCTAAAAAGGCGAAAACTTTTACGGCAGATCAACTTGATAATTTCATAAATGAAGCTCCTGATGAGAAATATCTTACGGCAATGGTAGTAGATCTCACAATAATTCATTCGTTTTTATCATCTAGTCAGTTAAGTACATAATTTATTTTAGGTTGCGTTAATAATGGGCGTTATGGGTCGTGCTTGTCGTGCAGCAGAATTGCACTATGCAAATCACAGATTTAGAAGATCATGGATCTATTTTTATGGTCAGCGTACCGAATGCAAAAACAAAAATTGCCAGGAAATTTTTATACCATAGTTAAGAAATATTTAAATCTTCGGCCTACCGGTATATCGTAAACGATACACAAAGAATTGGCATTAATAAATTTGGAGCCATGGGGAAAGACATTGCCACATATCTGAAATTACCAGACTGTAATTTATATACAGGGCATTGTTTTCGCATCTCGTCGGCAACTTTATCATTAGATGCTGGAGCGGATATAACGGCACTGAAACGCCATGGCGGTTGGCGATCAACAACTGTGGCTGTACGTTGATGATTCCGAAAAGAATAAGACAGATACTGCAAATAAAATATACAGTTCTATGACATCTAAACCAGTTAGTACAGGGCTAGTTTTATTAATGTGAACCCCCCTCTTTTTTTTTTGTTTTACACCCATTCAAAGAATTTCAAAACTGATTTTATACAATTTTTCTCACAGATTTTACTCATTTTGACTATGATTCAGGGTATACAGAAATAAATATATTTTTCAAATGGAACGCCCAGTATATTTCGATAAATTTGAATTGCCTAAATCATCCTGATTACAAACATATATATCGAAGGATCTTCATCCATCAAAATATACAGCGCATTCCATATAAAAAAATCAATATATTTCTGTATACCCTGTATATTTGAAGAGATATTGCAATACTCTCTCAATATGATTGAAACCAATATGAAATATCGTGAGAAAATCAGTTTTGAATCTTCTTGAATGGATAGAAAACAAAGAAGATGAAGGGGGGTTCACATTAATAAAACTAGCCCTGTACATCAACAACATATATGCAACAAACACAAAAAGAAACAATAAACTTCCATAATTCTGTTCCACATATTCAGATTACTGGTTGTTCAAACTTCACAGTTAATTTTATCAATAAACAAAATGAGAGATTAAAAATAAAATTTGTATTAAGTATATTAATATTAAAATGAAAATGATATCGAGGGAACTGTAAAGAAACAAGGAAGAGATTATCGGACATAGCTCTCATGAAAAAATAACCGTAGGCACGTGTTTCGGGCTTTCGGCCCTCATCAGTACGGTGAAAAAGTGTGCAACAGGTAGGCATCACTTGGTGGAAGAAGAAACAACAAATCGACGGAGTCAACAAACAGAAGCCAGCCGCATATTTGTGGTCTCGGTCAGCAGACCCTGAGGTCTCAGGGAAACTGCTATCGTCTGTTTTTTCTTCTTCTTCCACCAAGTGTTGCCTACCTGTTGCACCGGCCGAAAGCCCGAAACACGTGTCTACGGTTATTTTTTCATGAGGGCTATGTACAATAATCTCTTCCTTGTTTTTTTTATATTAAGAATTGTCAATAAAGTTCTTTCTCTGTACTTGTAACTTGGTTTTAAGTGTAATAGTCGTAGATAAAGTATAGTATTCAACTTGCGGTAATGGTCATAACTCACTTGATGTTCATCTGCGTGAGTTATGACCTACATTACCGCTCGTTAAATAATAACCTATTATTATTAAGGTCGACGAGAGGGAGGCGAGTCGGCCGGCGTCGAGATCAGAGTCGCCCTCCGACGACTACAACGGCGTGGACTACAACACGCTGATACCGGCGATCGCGATGGACTGCGGCAGCGACACGGAGTCGAGGAGCAGCAAGGATCCGTTCGTGGGGCTGAAGAAGTTCGGCTCCCAGATTGAGGCGGTGAGTTTTTTTTTAAGTGAAAACTCCTTTGAGCGCTCTCAGCCCTTTTTGAGCATTCAGTCCTTTTTTTTGGGGTGAACAGAAACCTCGAATTTCCCGTTATCGTCACAGAATGACAGAGAGGGTTAGGGGTTAGTGTGAGACAAAGATCCACTACGCCCTTTTATCAGAAAGTACAATCGGAAGAAGAATTCCAGTGCTTTTTGCAGGTAGAATATAATAATTACTAGATATACTTGTGAATTGGTAGTTACATAATATATTGTAGGAGAGCCGGCTGCAAATTTCGACCGTTATCTGATAACCAAATGTTATATGGTCCAAAGGCATGTATAAACATTGTATTTTATCGAACGGCACCTGTGTCAATCACTATCCTGATCAAAATTATTGAAAAATGGCACTTCCCTGCGCGTTAATTTGCACTTAATTTCGCGATTTCATAACGAGATGAGAATTATGCTATGATGCTCTGCCACGAACTTAGATTGGTATCTGGATGATATTATAGACAATACAGTTGAAGATAGGTCTTTGAGTGCTTTCCATTTCATCTATATTAGCGACTTTTTAGTTTGAAGCACCTACCTTTATTGTACCAAAGGTGGATATACAGGGTGTAAATTTGAAAACTTCCAATGCGAATATCTCGCGAAAGAAAAATGTTAGAAAAACGCCGTTTGGCAAAAATGCTTAAGAGTTAAGGGGAACTAGAACCACCATATTTCGGTCAAGGGATGAGTCACCCCGTCGGCGCGACACACCCCAACTTTGAAATGTCAAATGGCACTACCTTTTTGTGATGCCTCAAATGAACAGTCTCAGTCAGTAGTATTCACCTGTACAAGACTTTTTTTCCACCCACTACAGGGTGTACGAAAAATATAGAATCGAATAAAATAAAATGAATCGTGTCAAAAGGATATTTTATTTGATCATATGTTCAAAATGCATTCTATTCTGTTGTAAGCAATAGTATAATCGATGTTCAAATGCCATTCTAACATTTTGGAACACATCTCTTGGAATATATCGGCATTCTGCATTTTATTTTATTCGAGTTTATGTTTTCCGTTCACCCTGTAGTGGGTGGAAAAGAAGTATTGTACAGGTGAATACTACTGACTGAGACCGTTCATTTGAGGTATCACAAAAGAGGTAGTGCCATTTGACATTTCAAAGATGGAGTGTGTCGCGCCGACGGGGTGACTCATCCCTTTACTGAAGTATGGTGGTTCTAGTTCCCCCTAACTCTATAGCATTTGTGCCAAACGGCGTTTTCCTAACTGTTTTATTTAAAGAGTTATTCGCATTGAAAGTTTTCAAATTTTGACCCTCGAATTGATGTTTTTCGTACACCCTGTAGTGGGTGGAAAAAAAGTCTTGTACAGGTGAATACTACTGACTGAGACCGTTCATTTGAGGTATCACAAAAGAGGTAGTGCCATTTGACATTTCAAAGTTGGGGTGTGTTGCGCTGACAGGGTGACTCATCCCTCCACTGAAATATGATGGTTGTAGTTCCCCTTAACTCTTTAGCATTTTTCCCAAGCGGCGTTTTTCTAACTTTTTTATTTCGCGAGGTATTCGCATTGAAAGTTTTCAAATTTACACCCTGTATGTATGGTGAAATAGCTCCCTCTTACAAAACCCTAGAAATTTTTGTAGACCTCTGGCCTACTTGATTATGTCGAATTCTATCACCGTAGTAAGGCCGCGCAAAACTAACGCTAGATGGCGCTGTTCCCGAAGTGATAAATAATAATAATAATAATAATAACGTTTATTCAGGATTGTACATAGGAAATTGCCTTTCTTATATATTTATATATGTATAGAAGCCCGAACAAACATTGAAGAAAACCACAAAAGCCGGAGCTGCGCGTGGTGCATTCAATGCTGTAGAAAACTTGAAATTGGTGGAAGGATATAAAGATAAAAAATAAAGATATAAAGATATAAGAAAAATAATGGAATTGAAATTAATGTAGTAAATGAAGTGGATAATATGAAAAATATAAATGATGACTCGATATGCACAGTGATTTTAAATAATTACGTATGCACACAGGTTGTTTTGTTTTGTTGTTTACATTTACGTATATCAATTCGTAATTCAAAAACATTGAGAAAAAGTGATTGATTTAATGAAAAAGACGTGAAATTTTCATTATATCTGTGAAGTATATGTGGCACGATGTTCCCTATGCCATCTACAGTCAATCCGGTACGGCCTTGCTACGGTGTTTCGCGGTCTACACGTTTTGGAAAGAAACAATTGACAAGTGGTTACACCAGTCTATTTTCATCATGATTGTACCCAAATTCAAGAAGCGAGCGGAAACAAACTGACTAACGCGTGATCATATTCGAAATACTCTTCTATTGGTCAAAGCGCCAGGAATATCATATCTGTAGGCGAAAGTATTGGTGTACCGTCTGCAAAATCGCATTAGTAAATGATTTTCGGTAAAGTTTTTTTCTACTACATCAGAAAATACAGGGTGCTCGGAACAAACGATCTACAGGGTACTATTTGATTGTTTTAAATGGAACACCCTCATTTTCATTGTATTTTTAGATTCTTCCTGAAGAGCTGATTTCATCAATATATCACAATTAGGGTCTAGCAGGAATGATTACAGAGATATAGAGTGTTCAAAATCGAGATTTTTTCAACTTTAGGATTTTTTTGTGACGAAACTATTCATTATCGGTCAAAACGGCTTTTATGTCCGTATCTTAACTTTCGATTTAGTATCTACTGACATTTAATAATTGGAACAGATACAGGGTGATCAGAATTCTGAATCTTGAACCACCCTGTAAATGTTCCAATTAAATGTCAGTAGATAGTAAATCAAAAGTTGAGATGGGGACATAAAAGCCGTTTTGACCAATAATGAATAGTTTCGACACAAAAAAATCCTAAAGTTGAAAAATCTCGATTTTGAACATCCTATATCTCTGTAATCATTCCCGCTAGACCCTAATTGTGATATATTGATGAAATCAGCTCTTCAGGAAGAACCTAAAAATACAATGAAATACAGGGTGTTCCATTCGAAAAAATCAAGTAGTACTCTGTAGATCGTTTGTTCCGAGCGCCCTGTATTTTATGATGCAACCGGAATAAATATTCTGAAAAATCATTTTAGATTATTTTTCAAATTTTCAAATCGGTTCAAAAATAAGTGAGCTAGAGGGGGGGGGGCATTTATGGTGAATCACCCTGTACCTCAGTCCCAATGCTCTAATTATTTATCCGCAAAATTCACATATATGCGTTTTTTTGTTAGTGAAGTTGGGTGATTGCAACTACAGGATTTCAAAATTCCCGCCTTATTCAACTATGAAATGCTCACATGCACATTAATTACGTTGCGATGACATTTAGAGCTACTGGAAAACATCCTAACTCCCGGAGTAGATTGAAAGTTAGACATGTTTTCCCATTTTTCCCATAGTTTTTAATGTCTTCGCAACATCATCTAATGACCTTGGCGACCGAGAATAGGGGATTAGCAATCCTTTTGACCTGAATGGTCTCAAGACTATAAACCATTCCACGTAGAGAATCTGGCTGTTCTGTTCTACTTTTCATGATTCATATCCTTTCTAGATCAAAGACGCCGTCGAAATCACCAAAACATCGAAGCACATCTAGAGCGAATACGAGAATTTGACTTTTCTTGTTCTGTTGTTAATGATTCATATTATTTCTAGTTCAAAGACTCCATCGAAATCAACAAAATATCAGAGCACGCCAAGAACTTGAACTAGAATTTATTTTTTTTGTCCTACATTCCATGATTCATATCCTATCTAGATCAAAGACTCCGGCGAGATCACCAAAATATCAAAACACCAAGATATCGAAGGACGCCAAGAGCAGAAACACGAAATTGTTTTTTTTATTTTCTTTTCATGATTCAAATTCTTTCCAAATCAAAGACTCCATCGAAATTACCAAGATATCGTAGCACGCCAAGAGCAAAAACGCGAATTTTTTTTTTTTATTTTCTTCCCATGATTCAAATTTTTTCCAGGTCGATGACTCCGTCGAAATCACCAAGATATCGTAGCACACCTAGAGCAAAAACGCGAATTTCTATTTTATGATTTCTTCTCGTTCTACATCAAATATTCCGTCTAAATCACCAAGATATCAAAGAACGCCAATAGCATAAACTAGAGTTCAGCATTTTTGTTCTGATGGTCATGTTTCATTCTCGTTCTAGATCAAAGACTCTGTCGAAATCACCAAGATATCGAAGCACGCCAAGAGCAAAAACTAGATTTTAGCTTTTTTGTTGTTCTGCTGTTCATGATTCATTCTCGTTCTAGATCAAAGACTCCGTCGAAATCACCAAGATATCCAAGCACGCGAAGAGCAAAACCAGCGACACGGCGGTGCAGAAGCTCGGCTCGAATCCCTCCATCTCCGTGAGGCAGCTGTTCCCCGGCGAGGAGGACGTGCCTCTGCATGCGCACGTCGATTTCGATAATGTGAAGGAGACGACGCCCGAGGGGTGGGAGAAGTGCAGCACCACCATACAGTACGACGCTGAAACGAAAAGGTCAGTGTCATCTGTCTGTTTCCCTCGACTCCATAGATAGATAGATAGATAGATAGATAGATTTATTTGGCTATTTTACACAAAGGTTTACAGCAAGTCGAATTTTTGCACAAAAGAGCAATACGGTATAAAAACAATTTTTAGTATTAACATGATGATGATGATAGACATAACATCAAAAACTATAGACCTATCAGTAAATTATGCATATTTGGCAAACTCTTGGAAAAGATAATCTATAATGAAATTTTCATTAAATGTAAAGATGTAATAATTCCAGAACAATACGAATTTTCCCCCTCAGATCAATAGAAGCAAATCTGATGACATTCACAGATTTTTTATCAGACTCAATGGATGATCAAGTTCAGGTGGATGTCGTTTACACTGACTTCAGCAAGGTCTTTGATGAAATCAGTCACAAAATTTTAATAACTAGGCTTGCTGAGGTTGGTGGCGACTTTCTCCTGAAATGGATATGGTCTTACCTGCATGGCAGAACTCAGATGGTAGCACTGAATGGATACATTTCAGATCCGTTTGAATCAACGTCCGGTGTCCCCCAGGGAAGTCACCTTGGACCGTTATTCTTCATAATTTACATTAATGAAATTATTAGGGATATGAAAAATTGCTTCATTCTACTTTATGCAGACGATTTGAAAATGTATTGTGCAGTGAATGACCTGAGTGACTGCAGAAAGATACAAGAAAATTTAAACCGCCTCACATCGTTCTGTGATAAGAATAGCCTCTTTTTGAATCTCGACAAATGTGTTTCAATCACTTTTACCAGAAATAGAAATAGGTTTGACTACAAATACAAAATAAAAAACCACGAACTGCAATCTGTATCTGAAGTAAAAGATCTGGAGGTACTGATGCACTTGAAAAAAACGATCAACGAATGCAATAAAATAATGGGATTTTTCAAAAGGAGTTGCCAAAATTTCAGAAATACAAGGTGTCTTCTTAGTATTTATAATGCATATATTCACAGTAAACTTTGTTTCGCGTCAGTTGTTTGGAATCCCCAGTATCAGGTTCACATAGATAGAGTTGAGAGAGTACAGAAAAAATTTCTCAGATATATTGCTTATAAAACAAATGTACAAATCATTAATAGTGACTACACTCCACTGATGCGTGAATACCTGTCAAAAATAGGCGAAATATCTTGATAATGATTTTCAAACTGATGAAAGGACTAACATAGTGCCCGCATTTATTCTCTAAGATTGAATTCAATGTTCAAATTAGACAGCTGAGAAGAAATCCAGAATTATTCAGAATACCTTTCAAAAAAACTAACGCTGCTCAGAATTCACCATTATGCAGGATGCCTAGAACATTTAACAGCACTTGTAATGACATTGAATATTTTGAACTCAATTTGAATTGTTTCAAATTTAAAAGTAAGTATTACTCTGATCATATGTAAGTATATAGATTTCACACTTATTGCATAACTGAATTTACTATTTTTTATTCCATAATCTACTTTCCGTTTGTTCATATATTTTTGTCTTTTCTTTTCTTGTTTACAACCCACAAACTGATTTATTAATCAAATCAACTTTATTACTAGATTAAAGTGTAAATGGTGTACAACAAAGACATATTCACATTAAGTAGATGGTTCTGTTTTTGGATTGTTCCATCTGTTATAAACATAAACGTAAATAAATAAATAAATAAATAAATAAATAAACATATATACAACATATGGGGGTTAAAATACAAGTTGTAAGGAGATGTTTTGGGTCGTAGTTCGAAGTAATTGATGTATTCGAAACTTTAATAATCAAAAGATATTTCACAAATCAAAATGACTAAATACTGATGACAGGAGAAACTGAAGGCCCCCTTCACCCGGGAATCATAATGCGGTCTCCACGGCGACGTATACTATTCGGGGTGATGTCTTCCTCTGCTATTTAGGATTTCAGCAGGTCTGGGTTACCTGGGTCAGTTGACTCAGTGGTCGGTGTATTTAATAATGTTACAATCTCCCCCTTTGGAGTACAGTGGCGTCCTCGCGTGTGCTCCAATGGTTGATGTGTAGCTGGACAACAAAGACATCTTCGCTTGGATTTTCCACGGCGGGGTCGGCCGTCTCTTCGTTCGGGAAGTTGCATAACCTCTTCTGCGGAGGTTTCTTCATCGGACACTGATACGTCAGTTCTAACGTCTTTTTCCTTCTCTGGCGGAGTTTCCGATGCATTTACAGGCTTTATGGATCGAGTTGCAGGTGGTCGACCTCGTGTTCGTAATGGCCTCAATGGTACGGCTTCTTCTTCGTCGTGGGGTCTATAGGGTGCTAACGCTGAACTGTGGCATTTTGCTAGTACCTGATCAGGTTGTTCCATCGAAACGATTTCATAAGTTGTAGGGGTAATAACTTTAGCAATTTGATATGGTCCATCTCTTCGTGGTGCCAATTTTGCGGAGTAAGAGTCTTTTGCTTTACTGAGGAAATGGGTATCGAGTAAGACCTGGTCCCCTGGTTTGAACGTTTGATGTTCTCTTCTCTTTTGATCTGCATAAACCTTAGCACGATCTTGAACAATTTCATGAGAATCTCTGGCTTTTTGTAGAGTATTAGCTAATTGAATTAAATATGGAGTAATTTGAGGTACAAAGTTTCCTCCCTCAATAATAGCTCGCATATCTCTTCGGACATCATCAGGTGTTCTCAATTCGCGCCCAAAGGTAAGATAGGCGGCGGTATATCCAGTGCTCACACAGACATTTGTATTCATAGCAAACCTTATAGCAGGTAATTTGTCCTCCCATGTCCGGTGGTCATTTCCAACTAAAATTGCTAGTTGAGTTTTCATATCCCGGTTCTTCCGTTCAACAGAGTTGGATTCGGGATGATAAGTAGGAATAAGGTGTTGTTTAAATCCAAAGCTTTGAACAACACTCTGCATCACTTCGCTGACAAATTGAGTTCCATTGTCACTGGTTACTCGGCGGGGTGTTCCATAACGGAGTATCACTTCATTGACTAGTGTACGGGCACATGCTTCGGCAGAAACTGTTTCAAGTGGGAAAATCTCTACCCAACGGCTTGCAGTGTCTTCCACGATGAATATCCATTTTTTACCACTCAAACTTTCAGGGAGCGGTCCAAATAAATCTATGGATATTACTTCGAATCTTTGTTGCATGACCGGAGTTTGAAGAAGTCCAGAAGGTTTCAAATTGCGAACTTTATAGCGTTGGCATTCAAGACATTTCGATACATATTCATTTATGGTTTTTACCATGCCAGGCCAATAAAATCTTGTTCGGATCTTCTGGATAGTTTTCTCGACTCCATAGTGTCCTGCTAATGGTGAATCATGGTACTCTTCGAGTATTTTCTGAATATCTGTTTTCGGGACAACCTGTTGCAGATCGTCATGTTCGTTCAATGGATCATTACGATATAATATTCCATTACTCATCAAGTATCCTCTTTCCGTCCATCTTTTGTAGTCGGTAGCGGAGGGGTCAGGTGATTCAAAACAGTCAATTATTTTCTTGACGTCCGGATCACTCAATTGTGCACTTCGGGTATCTTCCATTTTATCAGTTGGCATGTCGATTATAATTTGCTGAAGTTCTACTTCAGTGAGGTCAATGGGCGGTCTTGAAAGGGTGTCGGCGATGACATTCAATTTACCTGGAGTATAATCAATACGCATATTATACCCTTGGAGTGAGAGCGCCCATCTGGCTAAACGTCCAGTTGGTGATTTCAAGGTCATCAACCATTTCAATGGCTGATGGTCTGACTGGATGACAAAATCTGCTCCTTCCAAATATCCTCTAAATTTCTCAACTGCCCATACCACTGCCAAGGCTTCTCGTTCAGTAGTATGGTAATTTCGCTCTGAAGCGGTTAAAAGACGACTGGCATACTCTATGGGTCGTTCTTCTTTTCCCTCCCCCTGGAGGAGAACTGCTCCGATCGCGTAAGACGAGGCATCGGTCCGCAATGAATATGGCAATCGGGCATCTGCTTGTCGTAAAATAGGACTCGATGTCAATAGCTGCTTTAGGGTATCAAAAGAAGTTTGATGTCGCTCGCTCCACTCCCACTTGGCGGTTTTCTTGGTCAGAGATGATAATGGTCTTGAGACGTCAGCGAAACTGTTTATGAATCTTCGGAACCAAGAACAGGTTTGTAGAAAAGATATGACTTCTTTGGCATTTTTAGGTGGTGCCCTGTCCAATATTGCTGATACCTTGGTAGGATCTGGCATCAGTCCGTCTGGAGTTATCAGGTGCCCTAAATATTTTACCGTGGAACGTACAAATGAACATTTTGGACGATTCAATCGAAGTTTGTACATTTCTAGTCGAGTAAATGTTTGCTGTAAGTCATGTATGTGCTTTTCTAGACTCTCGGACAAGATTATTAAATCATCAAGATAAGCCAAGATTGTAACTTCAGGCAGTCCAGATTTAAATCGGTCAATGAGCCTCTGGAAACATGCCGGAGCGTTTTTAAGACCAAACGGCATTCGGGTGTAGCGATATATACCAAAAGGACATATGAATGCAGTCTTGTCTCTGTCACTTTTTCTTACAGAGATCTGATGATAACCAGATCGTAAATCAAGAGTACTCATAAAAGGAGTTCGCTTAGCAGTATGTAGTAGGTCGTCGATTCTCGGTAAGGGGTACTTATCCGATACTGTGATGTCGTTGAGTGATTTATAGTTGACACATAATCGAGTGCCTCCATTACCTTTTGGCACTAAAACGACAGGTGATGCGTATGGCGATTCACACTCTTCAACGATACCATCAGAGAGAAGCTGGTCAAGTTCTGTACGAAGTTTCTCTTTACTGCTTTCAGACATACGATATGGTGGTACCGAAATTGGTATATCACAAGTTAATTTCATAGAGTATTCTATAAATGGAGTTGGTTCACCACTTTTGGAGAATATGTTCGGATGTTTCCGTAGAAAATCATTAACTTGTTGTTTTTCGGGTTCTGATAAATTGACACCTTCATTATCTCGAAGATGTAAATCCTGGAATTCAATGTTAGAAATTGGAATGTCAGTATTTGGCAATGTGTACTGTTCCTCGTCTTCGAAGAGGTTAGTGTGATGTGGGGTTTCCCCAAAATGCCACTGTCCATTTGCCATGTCTAAGACCATATTGGATAGTCGAATGAAATCCAGTCCAAGGAGTGTTCTACTCTTAACATGTTCTGGTATGGCTAATAAAGTAATTGGAATCACCTTGTGGTTGAGAGTGATTTCAACTTCAAATGATGAAGTGTTAACTTCATGTTGCACTCCGTCAGCCAGCGTCATGAGTAATGCTTGTTCAGTATGAGGAAGTTTCTTTTGCAGCAATATTTTGTACAAAGTCGCACCTGCTACACTTCTTTTTGCACCAGTATCTATGTATGCAAATCCATTGGAATCTAGTATTTGCACACGAACCAACGAAGGATACTGTGTTTCATTAGAAAATGTTTGGCAGAAAAAATCCGCTTGCATTGTACTTGTGGTAGGTTTACTAGTTGTCGCTGTCGTAGTGGTACGGCAATCGGGACAATTACTCTTAATGTATCCAGGTTTATTACAACCATAACAGGAAATTACTGTTGACAGACTTGAAGAACTTCGTTCTGGAGTTGTGCTGGTAAATGGGTTTGGTTGAAGTTTCCTACATTGTTCTCTATTATGACCATAATTCTTGCAATATGTACATTGGACAGTTTTTCTACTACCTGATGGAGCACTCGGTTCAATTTTTTGTTTTTGTGGAAAAGTCTGAACTGGGTGTGTGACTTTCTTTTCAATAAAAGTTAGTTCAACTATTCGAACTTTTTCTATAAGTTTGGCAAACGTATCAAAATCGTTTCTAGAGAGTCGCTTCCTGATTCTATAATGCAATAACCCATAGATCATATCAAGTTGTATTATCTCAGGCAATACAGGCGTTTCAGGTAATTGCGCGAAAAGTGAACGGATATGACTAACGAAAATCTCAGTTTTTTCATTGTCTGCTTGTTCACGTGAGAAAATATCTTTATAAATTTGATAAGCTGGTTTTTGTTGACCAAAAGCATTTTTGAGGGCTATAATTGCTTCATCAAAATCTAGAATTGAAGACTTCACACCTTGCCACCAAGTAGCTGCAAGTCCTTCAAGAAGCATGGGAAAACCTTTTAGAGCGTTTTCATTTGTTATATTGACACATGTTTTGTATACCGTAATCGAATCAATGAAAGCGTTCACATCTGATTTCTCAGCACCATCAAAACGAGCAGTACACTTTGTGAAATTGCCAGTGTGTACAGTAGTAGACTGCTGTTGTCCAATTAAACCGGATAACAAATTTTGAAGAACCTCTTGGGTCATAACAATTTGCTGAGTCATTTCGTTTTCAGTTGGAGGGGTCATTTCAGTTCGAGTTACAGTTATATTCTCAGTTAAACGACCGGATCTTAGTTCCATACAAAGATCACTGAATGTCAATAATGTTCAAATCACTTGAAAGTCTCAAAATGTCACTGAATGTTCTCAAAATACTGATCTGTTCATAAAATATCCAATTCGTGGTAGAGATCCTCAGAAATTCCGATGGGCATGCGAAATGTGAAATATGACTCACCCTGTATGTTGAATTTTCGTGTCACCAACTATACTCAACCGTATTATCCTGTAGAATATTACTCTGGATACAAACTGAAGAACGTGGTCCAGAATATATTGGATAGTCCTGGTATCGTCGAGAGTTCCAACACTGGATTCAACACAAAAGTCAATGTTTCATGCACAAAAGTCACAAAAGTCTTCAGAACAGATTGTTCTCAACACAACAAACGTTTTACTCGTTGGTGAGATGGATTTTATATAAATCTTGATGACTCACTTTTGAGATGATCGGTACATCGAAAGAATGCACAATTCTGGCTGAATTTGCACTGGAAACCGGAAGTTTTAAAGCAGACTCAAAACACTTGAGATGAAAACTTCTGTCTCTTACGACGGGATGTACAGTTTTGTTCAGATTGGCACTGGAAGTTTTAGGACAGACTCAAACACTTGAGATGAAAACTTCGTTGTACAATAGTCACTTTAACAAGACAATTCTTCTGACTGAGTAACGATGTACAGCAATACTTCGGCCACTAAGTTGGAGCGCCAGTTGTAAGGAGATGTTTTGGGTCGTAGTACGAAGTAATTGATGTATTCGAAACTTTAATAATCAAAAGATATTTCACAAATCAAAATGACTAAATACTGATGACAGGAGAAACTGAAAGCTCCCTTCACCCGGGAATAATAATGCGGTCTCCACGGCGACGTATACTATTTGGGGTGATGTCTTCCTCTGCTATTTAGGATTTCAGCAGGTCTGGGTTTCCTGGGTCAGTTGACTCAGTGGTCGGTGTATTTAATAATGTTACAAAGTAAATTATTGAGTTTAAAACATTTTTTCTCCAATATACAAGAAAGCATACAAACAATCTCTTTCCAAAAACAACGCAGACTGAAGATGAATAGAAATTTGCAACAATCATCGGGCGGAATTTAGAAATTCACACACTATAAAAACAGTTCCCTTTGAGAAATTTCTTCAATTCAGTTCGGAGATCTCTATCATTCAAGGAGCGCAACTCTGAACTTAACTTATTGTAAAGCTTCAAATTAATGGAATTTGATTCCGATTTTGTTAACCTGTAACGGGGTAAGACTATTTGGTTAGCTGCTTTCATATGAGTATAATCGTTTCTGTTTGAGTGAATTTCACAGATAGTTTGATGAATATAAATACAAGGTAGTGTCATTATTTGCATTTCAGTAAATAACGGTCGACAGTGTTCTCTGAAGCTCACACCAGCAAGGAGACGAATGGCTTTCTTTTGAGATTTGAAAATCCTTATGGCATTCATAGATGAAAACCCAAAGTCATCTCCACAACATCTTCTAGAATGATCAAAGATCAATCTTAAAGGAACATGTTCGGGGCTCATATAAGCCCATCATCAGCCAATAGAAAATATCATAGTTCTAGAAAAATCACCCACAGGGCTGTCAAATGTAATCCATTTTTTATGAGTCCTTAGGAAGTTGCTTCGATGCCATTCAAAGCAGTTTTTTTCATTTTCTGATTATCTTGTCAAATAAGCGAGATATTGCCTGTATACGATAACTTGGGACTCCCGTTATGTAATGAAATCCTGAATAAAATGTAGTTTCCTTGTATCTCGAATATTTTCCAAGTATCGGAAGGTACGCCACTGGCAGAACAGGAAATATCACAGTCTTTGACCTCGCCTCTCTCCCCTCGCCTGAAAGCTACTTGGCTTCAAAAATATTGGAATACAGAATAGAAAATTCCATGTTCATCTTTTTTGATATGTCCATGGGTAATTGAGTGATGATTTTATTTATTATTATATTATTTGATCATTAGTTGATCATGTAACAATAGTATATTACACCGAGGTGGGAAGAGATTCATTCCTGTCGTGAGATTAATTAGTTAGCTATGATCTCAAGTCAGGAATGAAACTTCCTACCGAGGTTTGTATACTATTTTATTTACAGCCATCATATTTCTAAGAAAATTAATAAATCTCTGTTTCGTTCTGAACATACCTAATATATTACATAAGTGAGGGCGGGAAATAGCGGTGTGTAATGTGACACTTCCCAACCTCAATGACGTTAGTAATGACAACATTACACATATGGTTGTAAATAAAAACTATAAGGAAGGCCTACTGCAATATAAATCTATTCTATAACATTTCAAGAGTTCTTGACTTCAAGACGAAACAGGTGCTATGCGATACGCTAGTCCTAAGTCATTTCAATTTTGCTGACATAGTGTATTATTCGTGCCTTATAAATCATGATAAAAATAAGATTCAAGTTGTACAGAATGTTGGTGCCTGACTGATTTACGGTGTAAGGAAACGAAATTCCATTTGTCATAAAATAAAAGAATCCAGATGGCTGACGATTTATATGAGAAACACCAGATTTAGGTACCACCAAATTTATAACGCTATCGCTGAAAATGACGAATAAATGCAAATTCAGAACTACGCTAAAAAATTTTGTTTGAGGGTTGGTTTGATAGTATGATTTCCACTGTATATAGGTACCAAATGGAGGTTCGAACATGTTATCGAGAAAACTGATTGCCCCTAGTTCCATACAATATCATCATTGATATGATCGTATATATGTCTCCAATTGAACTCTTTGTTGCCATACTTTTATTTTATTTTCTTCTTTTCTCCTCTTTTTTTCTCTCTTTTTTTTTGTCTATTTGTACCAGGTTGATATTTTTGTTGAAATTATCTATCGCTATAACCTATGTAGTCAATTCCACGAATTTTAAACTTCAGTATTCACTTGGTAATTATGAATAAATAGTATTCTCTGTCTCAAATATTGTTTTTATTATTGTTATTATCTTCGGATAGGAGTGACTGAATTCCGCCCTTATACAAATATTGTTTTATAATTTTTGTGTACCATGGGATGTTCTGATTATTTTGTAACTCGCGCAATATGAATGAAGACATAAAAATAAAAAGTAGTCCACTCGCCCATTGTGCTATGGGTGTCTTATTATGTCATAAAGGTTGTTCTATTTTTTCATAAGCTATCAATATAATGTTTTATACAAAATATCATCGATTTGGCAGCGGTTCCACAGAGGTCCTCATAAAACGATGCCTTTTCTGCAGAAGAAATCGTCGAAATAATAGTGTTAACTCACGCACGGCTGTGTTCTCTCGCAGGTTGTGGCAAGAGCTGCAGAAGCCATACGGCAACCAGAGCAGCTTCCTGCGCCACCTCATCCTGCTGGAGAAGTACTTCAGGAACGGCGATCTCATCCTGTCGCCGCGGGCCAGTCACCACGCCATCAACTACAGCGAGTCGGTGAACAATCGGCTGCGCGCGTACGACAACATCCCCTCGGGCGTGGTCAACGTGCAGCCGATGACGATGCTGCCGTTCAACAAGATGCAGAAGAGCAGCAGCGGAATTATCACCAGCGCTCATGTCGGCAACGGTGAGTGACTTGTTGACGTTTCGCACCTAAGAATAGAGAGTTGAAGTATACACTGTACGTAGACCTCCACGTTGACGTTAACGTACGGAAAATAACGTTTAGGGATTATCCTCAAATTGAGTTGAAGTTATCAGGATCATCGTAACGCACAAAAAAATTTATGTTTCCTGTTTGTATTGGTCCTTTTTTGGTTTCGATCTGAATATTAATTCGTGTTGAAATGATCGGAAACCTTGAAGAAGAACTTTTTGGAGATCCAGGATTCAATGAATCAATGGCATATCTCGGTTAACGTACGTTGATATTTATGGTGTTTGTGAAGGTACGCAAAACAACGTACACCCGTAAGCCCTCTACCAACGCAAACGTGGAAAAACGAGAAATGCGCTACGTTTACGTTAAAGTTCATGGCAGCACTTCAACTCTCTACTAAATAGATAGTTTTACGTTACGATGACACTGATCACTTCACTGATGTCAATTCAAGGATTTTTCGTACATTAACGTCTTCGTGGAGGTCTACGTCCAGTGTGAGCTTCAAGTATTTGATAGCAGTATATAGACACCGCGATTCAATCATAAATCATTAAAAAGTATACTTCAAAAAGCCTAAACGACAAACACGGATAATATTCGCGAATTGTGATAATAACTCTGCGGAATCAATGCCAGAGAATTGATATTCTTCATCGATATATTTTATATACTCATCTAATTAATCGGGATTTCTATAAATGAAAGTGTGTGTATTGATAAATTAACTCTCACCTATTGTAATTCGATAATACGTAATTTTGTAACGGTCTAGTCAGGTTATTTGGTATATCCAATAATATAAACACGATTTTCATCAACAAAAGTGAGCCCTCAAATAACACCGCCACTTTTCCAAATTTCTACGTACCTGTGAGATATCAGGTTAGGATATTTATTTCGTAACTGACTTTTCTTTACGGATTTGACATTGCCCTGCCATGTTTATTCACAAAATAGTCAATTTTTGATTTTATAATAGTGAGTCACTGAAACATTGAAAACTAATCACACAACAGCCGAAAACCCACCAAATTTCTACGTACCTGTGAGATATCAGGTTAGGATATTTATTTCGTAACTGACTTTTCTTTACGGATTTGACATTGCCCAGCCATATTTATTCACGAAATAGTCAATTTTTGATTTTATAATATTAAATTAGTCACTGAAACATTGAAAACTAATCACACAACAGCTGGAAACCCACCAAATTTCTATGTACCTGTGAGATATCAGGTTAGGATATTTGTAACTGACTTTTCTTTAAGGATTTGACATTGCCCAACCATGTTTATTCACAAAATAGTCAATTTTTGATTATATAATAATAAATGGGTCACTGTAACATTGAAAACTAATCACACAACAGCCTGAAACAATTTCTACGTACCTGTGAGATATCAGGTTAGGATATTTGTAACTGACTTTTCTTTACGGATTTGACATTGCCCAACCATGTTCATTCACAAAATAGACAATTTTTGATTTTATAATATAAAATGAGCCACTGAAACATTGAAAACTAATCACACAACAGCCGGAAATACAGAAAGAACGACAAATGATATTTCTCACAAAGATTATTGCTCGTCTAATACGAAACTTTGCTGTGCCGCCACGTTCATCTTTAAATAATTCATATTTCTCATTTTATTATATACCTCACAATAACTATAATTATTAGTAGTGAATTTCTGACTATTGTGTTCTTATGGGTGTATTATTATGTCATAAAAGTTGTTCTATTTTTTGTCATAAGCTGTATATGCCGAGTTGAATGAGCTTTTTTATCCGAGAAATCCTCTTAAATTATCGATTTGGCAGTGGCTCCACAGAGGTCCTTAGAATGTTATATCTTTTCCGCAGAAGAAATAAGCATAATAAATCACGAATATTTTTATTGGTACTGAAGCATCTTGCAAGTATATAAGTATTCAATGAGTAATTATTAGGGACCAGGTCGAACTATTGTCTTCTGTGAAAGTGAATATTATTGTCATTGGTCATATTGAATCTCATGAGGTAATTACTAGTTACAAATCTGGCAGCGTCGAACCTGGCGTTTTTCGAAGTCGCCGAATTTAATTATTGAATACATATATTTGCGATGATTTTAAATAACGAGTGATTGCATCAAATGCTATTTATACACGGAAGGATCAATTTAAAATAGGTATGAGGCGTAAATTCGACTAGTGTGAACAACCCCATTTCTTCCAAGTGTTTGAAAATTTTGAAAATAGAAATAGGTGATATTCAACATTAAAGAGTCCACTTGTGTAACTAACTATTTCAAATTCGTTCCTTCCTTTTCAATTTGTAGAAGAATTATGGGTCTACAATTTCGGCATATCAGAGACGCCAGCAACTCATTTGAGATGCCTGATAAAAGTTCAAAATTTCGGGACATAATTGATAACTTTCACCACTTGCACAACTTCGACCAAATTCATCAAATACATACCATCTGTCAATCTGAATAATACAATTTTGAAAATGTCAGTGCAAAACAGACTTATTTGGGAAGTTAGGTAAATATAAATAATAATAATACACTCCTTTTCATAAAATAATGACACTAACGGTATCTAACGCGCAACAATCGAGTTCAAAACAATGTTGTCTGCTCAAATATCCGTAATTTTTTAACAATATTCTGTTGCTATCCAAACAATACAGAACTGGATAGTAATATTGCTATTTGTTATGATCATAACAACATTGTTTATTCAGATCCGGACAGGATCGACCCGATTTTCTTATATTTTTAGCGAATCTCATTGGTAAAACTGGTGCGCGCACAGTTGCATGTTGAAAAGAAAGACAGATGATTTATCCTGAGTGCATGAACGCTTCACCAGTTCATGTCCAATGAAATTCGCTATTAAAGTCATATTTCAGTAAGAAAACCATGTCAATACGAGAAACTTTTTCGAGAAAAAACGATTGTCAAACATATCATTTTACTAAAAATAACAAAACATGTCCCAACGGGAGTTCTTTCTTTAGAATCTCATGGTCTTGAGATTCTAGATTTCTTTCTGAATAATGCAAACATATTCGATAACCAATAAAACGAGCATTCAGGAACTGGAAGTAAATCAGAAATCGGTTGTGGAAATCAGGAGTTATCAAATTTGTTCCTTTGCTTTCAGTGTAGTGTAATTTACACCACCACTAAAAACAAGCTGATTTGATAGGATTGGGATTTTAGAGGAACAGGAAAGTGGAGATCGTGTCGACATCATTTGTTTACAATCATGGCGCTGTGAAGACAAAACCTGAAAATAGCATACAGAAATAAATTTGCTCGAGATTTGAGAACTGCCCACATAGCCTTCTTCTTGTTTCTGATTAACATTATTTTCCTCACTCAGGGTGGATTTTCTCGGTAGAAGCATAACAAAACAATAACTTTGTGGTATTTGCTGTCCGTGATGATGTTACTGGGTCCTCATCGGGGGTAACGGTCCTCATCAAAGATGAATAATAACGAGCCGAGTATGCTATTATGACTATCATCTAATTTCGGTGCGATGTGCCTATTTTCATCAAGTCACAGCCATCGAGAGGCATATGATTTGAGTGTACTTGAAAAATAACCATCTTTGCCTGTCAATCTCGTTATTCAAAATTAGCAAGGAGAATTCCAAACTGCTAGTCTCTTTTCCATGTAGGCCTTCTCAAAAAAATCCATGGTAAAGTAGGCTGTACAGTTGTCAAGAATGAGTACTTACCGAATTACAATTTATGAGAGATTAGTTTTTCAGTTTCACGCAGATCTACTCGTAGATGTACCGTTTATACGGAATTTGCTTACTATCATTGTTTGAAAATAAATAATAATTAATAGTTTTTTAAATTTCACTCTGATTCGCTACTTTTATCAAAACTAACGATTCAACATCTGTCAGTGACAGTCAGTGTATTTCACACCGTCTATAGCCTCGGTGGAGATATCCTACACCGGTGTAATACAACCGTTTCAAAGGAACGACAAGGTGTAATGCAAAAAGCAACACACTGAAGAAAAGGAATGCTATTTTGGAAAAAGTGTAGTTCAGAGTCACACTTTCATAGGAAAGGAACAGGTCTATCATGATTTTTCGACTTGACGTTTCGAATTTTTACCACTTCTATTCAGCTACTCAGTTTGAAAATCTATTTCTCTTTTTCCAGCCACCACCATTGCACCTCCCACCGCCCCTTCGCTTCCCACTCATGTCTCCCCTCCCCTCTGCAAACCCATCGGCAACCTCGCCATGTCCGTCACCACCATCCCGAGCCACGCCTACAAGGGCGGCGCTTCGATCCCCGGCCCCGCCTTTAAGGGCGGAGCTCCGAATCCCGGCTCCGCCTACCAACCACCGAAGAGCGGCACGCCCATCACGATATCGCAGCTGAACAGCCCGCCGCTCATCCCCGCCCTCAGGCCCAAGGGGCCGTCGACCAAAGGGGCGGCTACTGCCCCGCCCCCCGGGCTGATCTCGCTGCGGCCGGGGACGGCACGGCCGGTCGCGCCTCTGTCGGGGGGCGTGGCCAAGGTGCCGCAGTCGCAGAAGATCAAGTTTCCGATTACGAAGAACTGGCGTCCCAATTTGATACCGATCGATCCGAGCAAGAAGCAGGAGAAGAAGGTTGGGTTGGTTCAGGTGAGACAGTTGATCAGTCGATCAGTTTATTAATTTCCATTCATGATAGTTGAATTTGCGAACAATCTTATATTACTTACCACCAAAACTTGGTGTGTGGTCAGCAATCTGTCAATAATGAAGTGAACATACTTTGGGGACATACAAATTTTATAGTTGGCTACATTATCGTTATCAATTCAGAATTATCAAAGAAAATTATTCAAATCAAGACATTATTCATACATTCTGCTTTTCAAAGTTAGAGTCTGGTTGTCATCAACCGTTTTAAAATATTCAGTTGCTGGTCCACGTACGAATTATCTTATTTTAATTTTAAATATGAAAAAAGAATGAATTGTGAATAACTGAATAGTAACAGCTCACTGCAGTAGAATTGGATCCGAATTTCAGCACAAGTAATCTCACTATAAATTCTGAACTATTTCGGAACAGTAGAATTTCAGCAGTCAGTGGAATTACTGACACTACTGTCACTACTGATGATTGAATTCGAATATAGCCATACTATAAGTCAAATTTCCTCATCTATTATATTGACATACTGAAAAGAAATACTGATTTCTTAATATTTTTTCGATTTTCTCCTCGTTCATCTGAAGACACATTGTTTGAAAATTCATTCTCTACTTATCTGAACGTTTCGGACAAGAGTCTGCTCTTGTTTTTATCATTACAATTCAATCCAAGAAGATACCAAAATGATCCGTTGGTAATAGAGCACTTTGCTAGAAAGGAGATGTCTGATTTATGACGTCTATAAGTCAGATCTTTTCGAATCTATCATCTTGCTCCAAGCATTTCCAAAGACACAAGTGAACAGACCTTTGCTGAGAAATATGTCTGCACTCCTTCTATGAAAGGGTGCAGAAAATAGGCAAGAACAGAAATGTGTGAATTCAACAAAGTTATACTATCACATGAACGCATCAATTTTTTCCATAAAATATGCTGTAATGCTTCAAAAAACACCATTTGAACACCCTAGAATATCATGAAACGTTCAGACTTACCGTTCGGCGAAAAACTTGTCTATGCAGTACTGACGTAATGTTCCCTGTTCCTGTGGTTCCAGTTGTTTTATATTGAGGAAATATCAATTGAATATTTCTCAATCTTCAAGTCGATCCAACTATGAACTTTCGAGATAATTTGATATTAATTTATGTAGTACATCTCACCAATATAGGTTTTACCCGCATTGACAATTCTACATATTTATAACTGACATGGTTACTATAACAATTGAGTAGGTTTAGATTTATACCTCCATTATACGATTATATCAAGATTTATACAATCTAACTGAAAATTCTGGTATACTTGCCATTTTAATGAATCTCAAACTCTGATCCTGATGTCATCACTCTAATGTCATAATATGCCACAATAGAGTTTGTACGAAAACAAAGACAAGTGAGCTTTAAACTGCCTTGCTCAGTTCATCCATGACATTTTTCAAATCAGTTGAATCTTGAAACCCATGAAAATTGTCTTCAAAAATGAAGTATGGAACAAATGGCAGCATAAATAGAACCAAGCTAACAACAACAAACTGTATATAGTCAAAAAATCAGTCAAACCAATATCAATCTACCCCAAAACAAGGAAGGAGCAAGTGATCATATCTCGTCTACGTATTGGACACACAAAATTCTCAGACGAATATATACTACAGGGAGGAAATGAAACAATCTGTGATGTATGCCAAATGAAAGTCTCAGTGAAACACATCATAGACTGCCGAAACATACCCAATTCATTACATATGAAGCTCTAAGTGACATCACCAACATCGACTATGTGATATGTTTCCTGAAAAACATTGATTTTATTGATGATATTTAAAAAGTATTAGAAAAAATGTACCGGCGCTAATAACCGCTGTAGTTAATGCGCCTATGTAGCTGAAATAAAAGAAAAAAGATGAACTATATCGGTTGAGACGGCAATGCTGTTTATCTTACTGAGTAGTGTATTATCGATTTTTCTTGACTACCAATAGATGGCTGACGCCTTATAGTACTCGTGACGTCAGTACCGCTGACGATTTTCCGTCGTGTTACAATGGAAGCATTTCTTTGGGAATTTATTTTGGAATAAAATGTCTAGTAGTATTTTTTCTAGAAATTAGTTTTCTTGCCTATTATCATCATCAATAGAAAAAGTGTGGAGATTCATTCGTGTCTCATATTTTTTTTTACATTTCATGACACGATGAGTGTATCCTTACTTACTTGAAAGCTTGAAATGTCCGATGCTCGAAACTGTTCAGTCGATTATTTTTCGCACATCAACCCTGCTGTTCCAGGTGATCTCCGGCGGGAAACCCTACCACATCACGCTCGAAGACTACAAGAAAATGTGCGCCATCAAGCGCAGCTTCGAGATGAAGCAGAAAAGGCTGCAGGACGCGCAAAACGCCCAGAACGCCAAACCCATCCTGGTCACCCACAATTCGGTCCTCAAGTCCATAATACCGCGCAAGGGCCTCATCATCTCCAAGACCGCCGCCGTGGTCAAAAACGAAGTGACGTCACCGCCGCCCATACCTAGCGGCGAGGAGAACATCCTGGAGAAACTCGACAGACAAGTGGAGAAGCTCGAGTCGAAGCTGAACGAGAAGGCCGGCTCGTCACTGCTGCTGCCCAGGATTCCGAGATCTCTGACGGTGATTCCGCAGACTGTCACTAGGAAGTCGTCTTCGAGGCCTTCGAGTCCTGTGCTGATGGGCACGCAGAAGAGCAATGGGAGCAGTTCATGATTGGGTAATTATTTTTGCAAGTGCCTACGGATGCTCAGGGTGATCAAAATGGTCGGGTCGAGTTTCGGTGGGCCTGAACTTGAGGTCAGGCGAAGGGAACAAACTTTGTACTTTAGGCTATAATAGTTTGAAAGAGAGAGATCAATTGGATGATGACATGCAGACTGGTTCATGAAAACTAGTTCTGTTGAATGGAAAACGTTGAAAAATAAATTTTTCCTCACTGTTGGTCAGTCTGATTCGGTGTTTTCTGATGTTTTCTGGTGTTTTGTAATATTCCCAACATATCCATTTGTAACTCTCAAGAAATTGAATCGACAACACTAACAAAAAGTTTCGTTTTTGTTGCATATAGGATACCAAGATCTCTCTCGATGATTCCGCGAATCGTCACTGGGGAATGATCCTAAAAGATTAATGGAGATAGTTTCAGTAGGTGCGTATAAATTTGAGTGGGTACTTAATTTTGCAGGTGCCTACACATTTTTCACTTCACACTAAATCAATTGGAAAGAAAGAGCAATTGGATGAGTATTTTAGAGGCTTATTCATGAACAAACAGTTCAGTCGCTAATAGAGATGGATCTTTCTTTACTATAGACTAAAGTTCCTGAATATACTTGACACTGCTGTTTTCACGCTTTTTGTATAGGTCGCGTGCACGATAAAATTGATCATGGCATTTTTTTTTTTCACAAATATTATTCTTTGTTTGCCAATTTACAGTTGTTGATATATTTTAAATGATGCTATGTTTACCTATAGGTATATAATTATGTACTTCCTTATACCAGAGCCTATTCTGTCTGGAAGTTATTTGTTCAATAAATAAATAAATAAAATAAATTCTTCTGTGAATTATTGAAACACAACCTCACTTTTTTATTTGGTTACAGTGGAATCAAAGGATTGAAATAGTTTTTCACAATATTTTGGCATACGAATCGTGTTTCTTGAGTTATTCATTAATTCAAGCATGCCTTTGCATTGTGCTGTTGTACAATGCACAAAAAATGCAGCAAGAGACTATGGAATATGATTTTTCAGGTAAATAGTAATCTCACATAGTTATCATTATGAAATATTGTCATTCCTTATTAAAATTCCTTCTGCCTTCTGCCACTTCTGCAATACAAGCTAATACTGCTAATAGATTGAAAATGTCTACAACACACACGATCGTCAGCATGTCAGACCAGTCCTCCCGATTGATTGCATGAATCCAATCTTCTTGCATTATTCTAGAAATTTCAGGTATATTTCTATTAGCTTTTATTGCAGAAGGAATATCGATGAGAAATCAGAGAAATATCCAAATTCCAAAAATGAAAACTATATGTGAGTGACTATAGTAGGTACTTACTTTTAAATCATAATGTACCATCCGGATTCCTTCATCTTCCGCTGCAGTTTTTGTGCATTTTACAACAGCACAATGTGATGGCATGACCGAATTGATGAATAGCGGAAAAATACGATTCGTATTCCAAAATAATTGTGAAAAACTATTTCGATCACTTGTAAACAAATGAGAAAAGTGACGTTGTGTGTCAATGTTTTGCCTCCAGGGTCGGTCATCTGACAGTTCTTGCACGCGACCTATATCAGAGTACGGACACTATGACAAGCACTGACAATTAGACATAACCACAAATAAATTGATGGAAAAAGCGGGAACTGACAGTACACGGACGTACATGACATAAATCTCAAACGTTTGACAAATTGAGAGAATTAGGAGAAAGATGCAAGTTTGTGCAGTTTCCAACTGTGAGAATACGGGAAATCAATTCACTCCTTTCGAATTTCCATCGGATAACGGAATTCTACAAAAATGGAAACAAAATAAAATATATGATGCGGCCGGCATGGAATATAGGTTCAGGACACAAAATTTGCGAGATATTCAAATTTCTTGGTAGGATATAGAATATTTTTCAACGCATTTTTATCAGGTACACTTCAGAAAGGAAGATTTGATGTTGAAGAATAGGATCGTATTTAGAGAAAGAGCCGAACCCACAATTTATAAACTGATCGAGTATCGAAAAGAACCTTATTCCAGTTTAGAACCAAGAAGAAACGAAAAACTTGCAGGTAATGAAATTCATTTCTCTGGTTATTGCTCGTGATGGAATGATGAAGCAGAGATCACAATAGCTACCAGTGGCGGCTCGTGACTTTCATGACAGAGGAGGCTGAATGATATGAGATTTATTGTGAAAAACAACTCTCTACGACTCACCCAAATCAATAGCTTTAATGACATTCTGTTTACCAGTTAACCTGAACTTAATACTTGAAGAGATGTGTTCCTGTGATTTGCAGTGTCTATCCAATCCGCGAGGCAAATTTTTCAAATCATTATATCCAAATCGCCCCCAACATGCGATGACTTATCGGTTGAAAATAATACGCAGTACCAACAAAATAGCTTATTCCTTGCCTCAGATCCCGTCAACCAGATATATTTTTTATAATTATCAGAAACGTACGATTTTGTTTGTTACCTGTTACAATCAGATTTTTCAATTCCGATGTCGGACGTTTTTTTTCACAATCAATTTATCTCCATAAGACAAAGCACTGAATGGGTTCACCAAAAAGTATTCCACTAAATCGCAATCATTTGCAACACTCATTTTTCAGAAATTTATAGAGCCCCTAACCATTAACCTAACATATACATGAACAATGCACTCGCGCTGGATTGTCCGCAATTCGCGACGCGACACGACAAGTACGTGCTAATCGGGGTTATTGGGGCTTGCATTGCGCGCGTGGGTTGCGCATTGTGAAGGAGTCTATCCTATAGATGTTGCCAAGTTGAATATTTTACGCGTGATTTGCAGACTTCAACGTGTGATGCGTGGGCAAGCACTGTTGCCAATTCAAAAATATTTACCTAAAAACAGGAAATAAAATCAAAATCCATGTATTTTGGTGTCCTTTTAATGAGAAAGTATAGATAATATCAGTTTGAGGAAAATCTCTGATTAGGCTCAGCCTCCGTTGCCTCCTCTGAGGAGCCGCCACTGATAGCTACCATGGAGATCATGGTCGATCATCTGATGATGAAACAGAAGCAACTTCCTGAATTCACTGACTGAGATAATTTTCTAATCAATTCATCGTACCCTTTTACCCACCCGAGGAGACGCTATGCACTCTAATACAAAAATCAAAGACAGAGAAAGATATATGGATGTACTCTTCCCAGGATTTGTGAAGGAAGGAAGATGCGAGGATCCTTTATCTAAGCGAAAAACATATTCTTGTTCTTGTCTGGCAAAACATATGATTTGCTTCAAAATCGTTTGTGGTTATGTTTGATTGTCCTTGCTTGTCTAGTGTCCGTACTCTAATATACAAAAAACGTCGAAACAGCAGTGTCAAGTACATTTAGGAACTCTACTATAGACCAGTCTAATTTGTTGTTTTCGGGTTTTTCCTGGTGTTTAACTTCTAACGAAATGTTACCTCCTCCAGGTATTTGAGTATCGTTTTGGATGATCAAGCAGAACAGTAACAAAAAAATTGTTTTAAGAACTATAAAAAATGAATGTCATGATAAACTAATTCAGTATTCAAATTTCAAATCAGAAATAAGAAATATTTGATGAAAACATAATTAGTTTTCTGATTCTGAGAACTTGAAGCTCAACAACTGTTTTTGACTGTTACTAATTATCTCAAATTCCTAATCAAAGCTAGATCGCACCGGAATAAAGATAAAGGGAACCAACCAATTAAAACAGCAAACGAGAGAGAGAGGTAAGAAAATGCATTCAGCTGTTCAAGGGAAAATGCAAACAAAATCATACTTCTATCTTTAGCTGTATTCTGAGCACAATTCAATAGCTCAGTTGAATAATATAATGTTTCACCCAATTCAAGCTTGATGAGAATTATAGATTTTATCTTTCATCCTCTCCTCAACTGAGCTTGCTAATCGGTCGTATTCTGGAATACTCACAAAGTAAAATGATGTATATACAGTGCGATTCAAAATTCAGTATCAAGATTGTCCGCAAACACTTCGATACCGATCTACGGAGCCTTGAAAAGTTATATTCAGATTAAATTTGAAACATAGGGGACGTTATAGGGTATACATCATACGGTATACCAAGTGATTGTAAGATTCTGCAGGGAGATCATTTTTATGGGGTGAAGCCTTTTTTTGTCAAATAAACTTTGTCTAACTATCCTCGGGTACTCATCTCAGAAACAGTGAAACAAATTGATTAACAGGCATGGCACTCTACTAATTGAATAACTATTGATGGCAGAGTATTTGAACATGATCCTGCCAAATTCCCAATTAGTTCAACTTATCTCAATTTAATATTGTGGAAGAAAACATGATGATGGTTTGTAAAATAACTGCCATATTTTGACAAATTCTTTTACCCAAATAGTGTAACTATAAATTGATGATTCATGCTTTGATAACTTTCAACGACAGTGGTATGATCATAAATATGTAATATTTTTGATTTTGACATTGTTTCAATTGCAGGGACCCTAATTTTGATCAACTTGCGTTATCCAATTTAAGAAACCCGAATTGTATTTAATTTTTTTTGAGAGATTGTTGTCAATTTATGAAAAATTATTTTATTGAGTGTTGTTGAAATATTATATTGACATCGGAATATTTTTTTAACAAAAAAATGTAAATATACTGAATTTGTAAATAGTTGAAATATTCACTAGTTAAGATTATTATTTGAAAATATCACTTGAAATATTTGAATTATATTTTATGTAATATGAAGCAATACAAAAATCATTGATTCAGTTTGAATGATTTGTTGAATTGCATTTTCAAACATGATTCATATCATTATTTAATTTCATGTACTTATATTTATTTTATACTTCATGTATTATTATATTTCATTATTCACATCTAAAACTGTATCTCAAGGTTTTTATTATTTATTTCCATTTATATGGTAATTACCAGCTCCGATAATATTATGCCACATGTCAAT